TGCCAGGAAGCTGGAAGCACTGAGCACGGCTGGATCGGTCGTTGCTCCATTAACCAGGGGGGGAAGAGAGGTGCTCCTTTCGGGCGCCTGCGGAGCCCCATGGGGGCCCCATCAGGGCACCTCTCTGGCGGCGCGCAGACAGGGGGGGTTAGGGGAAGAGGGGGAGGCTTCTTAGAAGGAGACTGCTTCTTAGACGGCGCCAGCCCTACGTCTACAAGCAAGGTCCGCGCCTTCGAAGAAGCAGGGGTGCTTCTAAGAAGCCTTCCCCCCTCCCCTTAGCCCCCCTTCTGCGCGTGGCCGAATCAGGGCCCCTTTCCTGCAACCGTCGCCCACCGCCGCCGAACGCCCGAGCTGGACCCGCAGGTGGCACACCCGGGCAGCATGCGCGCGCGCTGGAAAAAGGCCACGCAGTGCGAGAGGGCCCGTCTTCGGGGAAGGCTTGGAAAACTTCTCAGAAGGCCAGGGGACTTCCAAGCCTTCTGAGGCGGCCCGCCCCTTCTCACTTCTACCCCCGGGCTCGCCGCCGAGTTTTGGCGGCGCGAGCGAGCGAGCGAGCGAGGCGCCGGTGCACTCACGCGGCGGAGCGCGTGTGTCTGTGCCCGTTTGGGCAAGGCGCGTGAGGCCGTAATGAACCTGTCCAACCCTGCAGAAATCTGACTCATACGAAGACCTTCGTGGCTGCAGGCCGAAGCTGGAAGTCGGACTGCTGAGGTGGTGTGCCGGAAGCTGGGGTTCTGCGGCTGGGTGCTGAATTTTTTGGCGGCGCGCCCAGGGGGAAGGCAGAAGGGGCGGGCCTTCTCAGAATGCTCAGAGGGCCTCCAGGGACCTCCTGGGAAGGTTTCCGAGCCTTCTCTGGGGCCAGGGGGGGGGCTTCTCGGAAGTCTGCAGAGGGCTTCCGAGAATCCCCGCCGCCTTCTGAGACGGCCTGCCTGATCTCGCTTCCCCCAGAAGCGCGAAGCGCGAAAAACTTCGCGCTCTCGCGCCGCCCCCCAGGGGAGAAGAGAAGGATGAGGTGGAATCGGAGCCGAACCGCGAAGCGCAAAGCGCGAACAACCTCGCGCCCTCGAAGGCGCCCTTGCTCCCCCCCCGCGGAGCGCCGCCGAGTGCTGCACGTGGGCCGAAGTGCTCGGCGCTGGCGCTGCTCGCAGGCGCGAGAGCGGGGAGTGCGAAGGCCTGGAGCCCCCCCCCTCCCGGTCGTGCAGTGGTCAGCGCGCTCCTCTCAAACGCCGACCACGGCACTCCTGATTGAAGGGGCCCAGGGGCGCACAAACAAGCACACTACTGTGTGTCATCATCTTTGCTGAACTGTCGTCTTCCCCCCCACTTCCCATACTTTCCCATCTTTTCCTGGGACTCCACCATGATTTGTGTCTGTGTGTGATTTTCCCTCCTGGCTGATGTGATCTCAATCGATCGAGACTTCGGCGCTGTGTATCCAAACGTGCTCGCGTCGTGAAACAATCACGACGGGAGGTTTCTGGCCGCTTTCGGCCTCGAGGGGCCCTCGCTGATCCACAGGACCGTCAAAACGACTCGGGATGAACAACCGGCCCTGGGGCCTGGGGACAGGGTCGGGACTTCTGGGGGGAGGGGGGCGGCATATTGAACAAATCAGGACGTCGCATGTCTGGGCATCCAACTTCCTGGTACGTCCTTCCACCAGGTGCCGTGCTCCAAGGAGAGGCCCATCCCCATGGACCAGAAGTTCGACCACCCCAGATTGTACGTCTCCTCGCGGTACGTGATCGGGTCCTCGCCCGCACAGGGGGCGTGGGGGCGCCGACGGAGAGGAGGGAGTCATGCATCACTGAGGAACGTCAGGGGGGACCGGCTTAAGGGGGGGGACACATCGACCTGGAACCGCGGATACATCGCCCGTGGACCCCTGACATCAAATCCGCACGGTCCTGGGCAGGGACGGCTATCGCGCCACAATCGGCGATTAGACGGCGATTGCGGGTCGATGCATCTCCCCCTGAGCCCACCCCCCCTGGCGCTGCCCCGAACCTGCACAACGGTGGACGGCGGCATCGGCATAGGCGGTTCGGAGACCCGTGCAGGGACACCCCTCGACTGGCGGGGTGCCCTCTCAACGACTTGGGTCGAGAACTCGAGTCGGGAGTCTGCACACGATGTCTCATGTCTGGTGAAGGTGTTTGAACTGGCGAGATTCGGCTCAGGCAGCCCTTTTTGAGCGGGGCGCAGCGTTGTTCATCTTATGAGTAAGACGAAGTGCTATTCTGGGAATCGACTAGCTAGTAAGACTGTTCATCGATCAATGTCGTTCGGAACATAATTTGACTTAGCGTAGTCTGACTCCTCACAAGCTCGGAACCAAACGCTGCCATATTCACATACATGAATTTGCAATTCAAATTGGGGCAGAAAGCGTAGGACAAAGTTACAACGGGCCACCCGCATGAGGTTTGCAGCCATGGGTGTCAACTTCTTCAAAGCTTCACTCCAAGACGCTAGCTAATAAGGGGCCTTCTGGAGCCTTGTGGGCCCTCTGGAGCCCGCTTGGGGCCATTTCGGGGTACTCATTGGGCTCTCCCTGGCCTTTTTGGGACCTCTAGGGCGCAACTTCGGGGTACCACGGGCGAGGTAGGTGCTTCGGACTCCTCCTGGACTTCTAGCTGCAAGTTCGGGAAGGCTCCGGACGTTGTCAGAGCCGTCGGGGAGGCGAGGGGAGGAGAGGGGGAGGAAGGCAGGGGGATTGGGGGTAGGAGGGAGGGGAAGGGATGGCGGGAAGGCGGCAAGCAGGGGAGAGGAACTCGGGCGTAGACTCCAAGCGCGATGCGATCTCATCCCTCTGCGCTGAGAAGCTGCAGCCAATGAGCGGGGAAGCCGCGGGAACCAGCCAGGCCATCCCGAGAGGCACGGGGAACACCTCGGCGAGAACTGCATGGAGATCGCGGGGAGCTCTTGGGGAGCCAGAGCTGGCAACCGAATCGAAGGGACTAAGCTCGGAATGGCCAGTCCGTGGGAGGCCGCAGGCGGTCACGGCTTCCCTTCACCTCTCCTCGCCGGGTGACCCGTGGGCTTCCCCGTGGCTCCTCGCGCTGTGCCCGCCCTCCCTCTGGCCCAAGGCGATCCCCCACGGCTGAGCATCCTGCCTCTCGACGACGCGGGCCTCCGCTGATGACGCCACCGCGACGACCCGCCTCGGGTCCTCAACGGATCTGCGCCCTCAGAAGTCCCCATGGGCCTGTCGACCCCGCCTTCCCCGCAGACTCAGCGCCGTGTGCTATCCTCGTCGCGGGTCGACTTTGGGGCCCCAGAACCTTGTGGTGACGGACCGCGTGGTGACCTCTGAATCCCCAATGACCTCACCACGCGGTCCGTCACCGCACGGTTGCACTGTTTTGGGACCTTGGAGGCCCGAGTCGCCCGATACGTCCTCGGAGAACGACTCGAATTCTAAAATCGCGTGGTGACCCCGAGTCCCCACTGACTCGCCATGCGGTGTGGTCACCTCACCGTTTTGGTCCCCCTGAGTGGACAGATCCCTTTGGAAAACCCGCCTTTCGTGAATACGGCCCGGGACCAGACTGGGCGGGTGCAGACCCGCAAGAACTGCGGCCGCAACGCCTGCTCGAGAACCGAAAACAGGCAATTCACTAGGCGACCTGGCAGGCTGGGGGTCCATCAAACCTCTGATCTCTACGGGGGCAAACATAACTGGCTATTGCGCGTCATATGTCGACTGAAGTGGGGGCAGTGTCCCGCTGGCGTTGCAACGCGCGGCTGCGGGCGGCTGCATGACCACCCGCCGCGCGCTGCCGCTCCGTCGGGCGGGCCAGGCTCCCGCGCGGGCTTGCTGGCATGCCGCGCGGGCGTGCGTCGGGGTCCTCTCTGGATCGCCCCCTCTCCGCGCGCGGTCGAAATATGTCCATTTCTGCCGCCTGGCCGCGGGGCGGGCCATCAGGTGCCCGGCCATGTCTGCGGCGCCCTACCTGCCCATAATGCTTTCTGGGGGCATGGCGCCCAACCAGGGCGTAGTTTTCTTCTTAAGCCGTTCCAGTCCGCAACGGGCGTTTGCCCTGCAATCTTCAACGCAGACATCGATTCCGCTTTCAGGCGCTTGCCAGTGCGCCTCGCGGACCGGCGCGCTGATTCGTCGGTCTTCGTGTCAATGGTAACGCGGCCATTTCGACGCGCGCCGGGCTGCCTTTCGGCTCAGTGCCATCGGTCCACGGCTGGAATCGCGTGGGCGCGGCGCTCCAGTGCATTGCAAGGAACATTATGAATTTGCCGCTCGCGCGATACGCAGATGACTTCTTCGGCGCCAGACGGCAGGAATCCGCCGAGCATTCCATGCGCGCTCTCGAACGCTTGGTGAGGGCGGTACTCGGCGAATCGGCGATCGCCAAGGGAAAGCCCGAATTTGGCTCGCGAGTAACGGTGCTGGGAATATTTTCCCATTGCTCGCCGGGCCTGGTGTCTTTTTGGCCGCGTCCAATGAAGGCGGCGAAGTGGGGCGCCCGTTGCAACGGCGAGATCGAGTCGCCGTCGCTGCCGCCTGGCAAGGCAGCGAAGCTAGCCGGCGCGCTCGCATGGGCGCGCCAATGCGCGTGGAATCGGGTCGGCCGCGCAATGCTGGGCCCTCTCTACGCGTGGGGGCGCAACCGCGGCAAGCGAGTAGGTGCTGGTCTTTTAATGGCCCTGTCGTAGTGGCCACGAGTGTTCAGGCTCAGCGCGTGGCGCGTCATCCCGTGGCGCACCCCAGCCGTGCCGCGCGAAGACCGCACGTGCGCGCTACTCGCCGACGCCGCATCGAATCCGGCGAGATTGGCAGCCGTGCCGTCGATTGTCGGCCGCCTGTCCTGGGTCGACGCATCCCCTCCGCTCGAATTGGAGGGCGAGCTTGTTGGGCGCTCGGGCGCGCGAATCAACGCGCTGGGGCGTGCTTGAATTTCCCTCGGCCTCTCTGCGCTCGCGCATCAAGTGCGCGGCCGCCCGATCCGCATTTGCTCGGACAGCGTCGGCGCATAGTGCTCGCTGCGCTGGGCGGGCGCGTCGGCGTTCGACCGTGCGCGCGCGCCCTCTGGCTGAATCTGCGCGCGGTCCTGGCGAGCGCCCACGAAGGCTCACTTCGCCCACCTGCCTGGCCGAAGCCATCGTTCGCTTCTTCGGCGGGCCCGCGCGACCGAGGTAGGTCCGCGATGGTTCGAGGCGCTTCCCCAACTCGATGAAACCTCCGCATTTCTGTCCATGCGTGCGCACTGACGCGCGCCAACGCGCGTTCCGTGGCGCGCAAGGCTGGGCGCGCGGCGCGCGCGGCGGCGCCCTCGGCCGCGTCGCGTTCGGTCGCGCACTGTTTATTGTTTGCTTTGCTTATCGTCCGGCTAGCGTCCGGCGTTCCATCGCGACGCGCGGCCTTCGGTATCTGTTCGCGCAGAGTTGAGCACGCGACGGCCCCTTCCCAAGGACATCGCGCCTTCGACCCGCGAGTGCCAGAACGTAGACACTTGCTCCATCGCGCCCCTTGTCATGGCAAGTGATCGCTGGGGGGGTCCATGCCGAGCGATTTGCTTCGCGGTCGCGCCGGACGAGCTGCCGGCCGCCGCGAGTGCTCAGCCTGGTTCGCAAGTGCGGGCCGGTGAGCGGACTATCTCCCCGCCGCTGCCGTTCGCGCGAGTTGGCTCCGCGGGCCAGCGCCCGCTCCTTCGGGCGCGGGCCCCGCTTGGATAGTGGGCCGCCAGCGCGCGAGCCCGCGCGCCCCGGGCTCGCATCCAAGGGCGCGCGCGCGCGCCATGAGTCGGCGTCCGCCCTTCGCCGCCCGAGTCGATCGGCCGTCAGCGCGCCCCAGGCAAGGCCTTGCCTGCGTTTGTTGCCGATGAAAGTCGCGCGAGACATCCCGTCGCGCGGGGGCTTTCTCTCCCACCGCGTCGCGCGAGTCGCTCGATGTTCAGCTGGGCGAAGCGCTGCGCAATGCGCAGCGCGTTCATCTCGACGAGTTTTGCGACTGTCTGCGTTCAAACGCGATGAGGGCGCGCAGGCATCTCGTGGGCGCGCAGTTCGAGGATTTCCTGGGTCGGGATAACTCTCTGCCATCGCCGGGTCCACCTTGCGACGGCCGAGCTGCTTTCGCGCGCGTTCGAAAGCGCGCGCCGCGAGCGCGCGCGCCGGCCTCGCGCGGCCATTTGCCGGGCCACCGGGCCAGGGGCCGCCGAGGAGATTCGCCCGTGAAGGGCGGCCGCGCGGCCCGGACCAACTCCCCGTCAGCGTGCCCATCCAGCTCGGATTCATCGTCGTCTTGCAGTCGGGGCGCGAGGTCCTGGTCACCGCGCGGCGCGTCGCCGCGTCTGTTTCGTCGCGCGGGCAGTCTGCGCGACGCCGCCGGTTCGGTGCCGCGCGCGCAGGGCGGCCCGAGGCAGCGGCCGCCCCCGGGGCCGCCGCGGGCCGGGCCGCGGGATCGCCGGCGGCGAAGCCGCAGCCCGGCGACGGATTCAGGCGCTGCGGTGCGCCTTTCTCTTCGAGCGGCGATGGCAGGCTTCGAGCGTCAGCTGGGCGACCCGCGCAGCGAAATCCCAAGAGCACGCGCCGCCATCGCGTCGCCCGAGGTTGGTCAGCTTTGGCTCCTGGTGCTGGGTGAGATTTGCGCGCGAAGTTTTGCAGCGCAGGGACAGCGAGCTCCCGCCGACGGTCGACGGCCTCCTGCTCTGGTCAACAACGTTCCACTGTCGTGCGTCGTTTGGCAAGTCTCTGTCGCGCCTGAAGAAAGCCTGCCACGTCGCGCGGGAGTCGGATGCGGCTTTCTCGCGCGCGTCTCTTGCGGGGGCCAGGCTGACCATCGAAAAACGATCTGGCTGGTCTGCGCGCCCCCGCTTGGCAATCCGTCTGGAGTTGCGCGCGCGGCTGCTGGAACGCCCAGGCGCCTTGCCAGCTGATTGCGGACTGGGTGTGCTCTTCGTTGTGTCTTATGCGTTTCTCCTTCGTCCACCCTCTGGAAGCCATCTGAAGCTCTCGTGCGGCCGTCTTGGTGCCCTCTTGGGCCGTTTGGGGGCTTCCTTGGGCCGTCTTGGAGCCCTTGGGCCACGCCGTTCGAAAAAAAGAAACGGGCCATGGGAGCCGCCCGCGAACAGCTTCACTTGACAAAAACCTTGGCTGGCACGGAGATGGAAGGAACGCCTCAGGAACTTGACCGAGATTGCTCATGGCACCCTTCGCTCTTGGAGCCTCGGTGTGAAGAGCTTGCTACGCCAACGCTCTCCGTGGGGAACCCTGGTGTTCAGAGACTTTGACGTTGCCGCTCGCTCTTTGGAGCCGTGGTGTGACGAGCTTTGTACGCCACCGCGCTCAGGGGAGCCTTGGCGTCAAGAGCTTGTTGCGTCACCATTCGCTGGTGGGAGCCATGGTGTTCTTGAGCGTCTCTGTCTGGGGCCTCGTCGGGGTCTTAGTGGGGCCTTTTTGGAGCTCTTCGGGCGGCCATTGGGGGCACTTTTGGGGTGTCGTGGAGTTCTTTTGCGCCGTTTCGGGGCGTCTTGCATGCCTTTGGCCGTCTTGGGGCTCTCATGGGTGCCTCTTTGGGCCTTCTTGGGGCTCTTTTGGGGCCGTCTTGGGGCCCTCTTGGGTAGTTTTCGAACCCTTTGGGGCCCCTCTGGGGCCGTCTTGGGGCCCTCTTGGACCGTTTTCGGGCCCTTTCAGGGGCCTCTTGGGCCGTCTTGGGGCGATCGTTGGAGCCTCTTGGGCCGTTTTGGACCGTTCCTGCCTAGAAAAAAATAAAAATAGCAAGAACCTACAAACACCATTGAAACAAAACAAAATTTTCTGCCCCTGGGGGTCCTCTCGGGGACCCTCTGGAAGGCCTCTGGAGCCGTCTTGAAGCTCTTGGACCGTCTGGAGGCCATCTGAAGCTCTCTTGGGGCCGTCTTGGTACCCTCTTGGGCCGTGTAGGGGCACTCTTGGGCCGTCTCGGGGCCCTTGGGCTGCGTCACTCGAAAAAATAAAAGGAAACGAGCCATGGGAGCCGCCCGGGAGCCGCTTCACTCGAGCAAATAATAAGGAAACGACCCCCCCGCGGCCATTAGACGCATGCGTGCCCCCCTCGCCCCTCCCCTGGAAGCCCTCCTTAGAGGGCGTCGCCCTACACAAGAACATCATCACTCGTACCTCGCTCTTTCCGTTCGTTATACGAAGGGAACGGCCCCCCGGCGGCCATTAGACGCATGTGTTCGGCCCTCACCCCTCCCCTGGAACCCCTCCCTCGAGGGCTTCGCCCCACACTAGAACGTCGTCACTCTTTCTTCGCCCTTTCCGTTACTAGAGTACTAAACCACCAGACAACCAGATCACTTCGGGAACCTAGAGTTGAACTGACGCCGCGCCTGATAAGCTGCATCATCTTCATCTCCTCCTTCTCCTCCTCCTCCTCATCATCATCACCACCAGAATCACCATCATCATCCCATTCCTCCCATAATCCTGCTGCTGACGCTGCCTCCTCATCCCCCCCGCCTCCTCCACTGGGGCAGGGCCAGAAAGGAATGAGAAAGTGAACGAACGGTTCTTCCTGAGTTGAGAATGTTGGAAGGAAGAGGGATCAAAGCTGAGGAGGGTGAGGAGGAGAAACGGACACAATGCAAACCCAATTCTCATCAACGATGTTGTCATAAACCTTTCCTCCATGTTCCCTCTTCATAGGTCCCTATAAGCATGTATCATCACTGATGGAAGGGCCCTGTTGGAAGACAGCCGGCTGAAAATCTTGAACCGTGTCAGCACACACTTCCTGGGACTTCAACACTGCGAATCAACGCTACGGTTGCGTCCTGACGATCCTGAACCGTGCCAGAACACCATTCCTGGGACTTCAACACCGCGAATCAATGTGACGGTTGTGCCCTGACGATAGCACCCCGCGCGCAAACACCATTTTTGGGACGCCAGCAATCAGAATCCTCGAAGCGGTTGTAAACATTTGATACGCAGCAGCGCGGCGCTACGCTACGGCGAGAAACACATTTTGAAAACAACCAGCCCCCAATCCGCAAAATTCTTGCAAACGTTTAAAAAGAATGTGCGCGGCACTGAAGCGAAAACCACATTTGAAAACGACCCGCCCTCCGTCTGTGAACCGCCTGCACATTTTCAGCTTTCGGGTCGTAGATGGTGAGGAAATCTCAGGCGGAACGCCCAGCCCGCCCTACCGACACGTCTCGGGGTGCGACAAGGAGGAATGGAAGCCAGGGCATGACTTTCCCTCCATACTGGGAAGGAAAAGGAAGGAGGAGCTTGGTTACTTCGCTACGCGGAGGAATAGGACTGGAAGGGGGAGGGAAGCGATATGCGAACCAACTCGGGAAGGCACGAATACTGCTAACTCCCGCCGAGCAGTCTAAGCCTGATATATAACTACTCGCAAGAAAGAACAGGAAGCAAGAGGAGGAGAGGAGGAAGAGGAGGAGGAGGAGGAGGAGGAGGAGGAGGAGCAGGAGGAGGAGGAGGGGACCCCTGGGTGCGGCAGAGCACGCGGCGGTCCCGCGTCCACCGGAAGAAGACGGGGTGGTCCACACGTATGCCCGCGGTGGCGCTCCACTCCTGTGGACGGTGCTGCCCGGCCAGGCAGCAGGCTGGCCGCTCCGGGCGAGGGCGGCACGACGGGACGACGACGACGAGTCGAGACGCTGCAGTGCGCGCTGGGGCGCGGTCCTGTTGAGAGCACAGCGGGGGGGCCGTGGCACCGCAGGTGTAGATTAGAAGGACGTTCTGGAATGAGGCTCTCGGGTGTGGGACATCTCCTCCGTTCATGAAACAGTTTCGCCTCGGAAGCACCGAGTGTGACGACGCGCGCCAGACCTGATACACGGGGAGGGGAAGCACGGCAGGCACGGATCTTCGACAATTTGCATTGTTTTTGCAGTGATGTGGCGTTCAAATCGGGCGGGCGGGACATTGAATGCAACCTTCACTGTGTGAAGAGAAACAGATAAAGGGGAATCGATCACAACTACCGAAAATGCCGCTCGGGCGAGCAGGGCAATAAATTAACCATTCAGTCAGTGATGGGGCGCCCAGCGAAGGACTTCCAACCCAGACTTCCAGCGTCTTCAACAGAAACAAGACGGAGATACTTCTTGTTTTCGGGCTCTGACGGTCCTCGCCACGCCCCAGGACCGACAAAAATATGGTTCGGGAGGAGAGAGCAGGCCCCGGGGGAGGCGTCGGGACCTCTGGGGATTCCTTGCTGAAGAATGCTGACGTCGGGCGTCTGCTAAATGATCCCCACGTTTCGGCATCCAGGGGAGGCTCTTCCAGGCCCAAGGCCATCGAACATAGATCTGACGTCGGGTGTAAGTTATCCCCACGTTTCGGCATCCAGGGGAGGCTCTCTCGGGCCCAGGGCCATCGAACATAGATCTGACGTCGGGTGTTTGCTGAATCATCCCCACGTTTCGGCATCCACGGGAGGCTCTTCTGGGCCCAAGGCCATCGAACATAGATCGGGGCCAAGACAACTGCCCCAGGGGAAAAGGCAGGGACTTGCCTGGGGCTGCGCATCGGAAAAAAAACACCGTTGGATGTCAGCGGAAGGTGCGGCGCACCCGTGCTTCTGTCGGACGCGAGCGAGGGGGGGAAGTGAGACGGAAAAGGCCTTCTCAGAAGGCGGCGTGGCTTCTCAGAAGCCCTCGCGCCTTCTGAAAAGTGTTCTGTGTCTTTGGGGAAGGCTTCGAACATTTCTCAGAAGGCTGGGGGACTTCCGAGCCTTCTGGCCCCTTCTCACTTCCCCCCTTCGCTCGCCGTCGATTCTGGGCGTCATGAACACAGGAACAAACAAACTGCACACGCCCAAATATCGGAGGTCCGCGCTTCTCGGATCGGCGCAGGGACCCCGCCGGCGACGCCCCCTCGGCGCCCCGGGCCTCTCTTTGCGCGCCGGCGGGGGGGGGGGTCTGGTGCCGACCCGAGAAATCCGCGCGGACCTCCGACATATCAGCCTTGTTTTATATTCTTGTGGTGTACGCACACACACACACACATATATATATATATATATATATATATATATATATACACAATTGTATATGCATATAGAAGCGGGCAAATGTTTGAATCTGCAACGTTTAAGAGCGTTGCTCATGTTAGTTCCCCGGACGTCCGACTACACGCGTCTCTCTCCAATATGCGGCCACAGTGATTCAATCCCCTTCCTTTGGGCCAACTCGCCCCGCCCGGAACGTATTACCAAAATGATATCAACCGAAGAAGACAAACTCTGCAGGTCCCGTTTTCTTACCTCGTGGCCCAGGTCAAGGACACATGCATAACTGTCTGAGTGTGATAATGCATAGATGCTAAGAAAACTCGCACACTATTGATGTGGGCCCTGCTTTTTTGGTAAGTCTTGTGGGTGCATCGTCGGATACGGTCGTCGGGCACTTCTGCTTAGCGTGTCGCGGTGGCGACCCCGGCGACACGCTATGTCCCGTTAGCTGATAGCGTAGGGCACCAACGCAGACCCAAGAACTCCACGCGGACCGTCAGATGTTTTCGTCGCCAGGGGGTCCAGCGAGGATCCGAGAGCAAGAAATCACGACGTCGGAGGCCTGCGGAGGCACCACAGAAGGATCCTCCCGAACATCCGACGATATGACTATCTCAATCCGCGGCCCCAAAGAACTCCCGACCGCTTCCCCGTGGGCAGCCCGCCGCCGTGGCTGCGTTCTTGGTGGCCCTGGGGCCCGACAACGGGCGCCGGAGGCCCAAATCGAGAAACTACATTTGCTTGAACCGGTCGGAGACCTGGGGAAGGCGCGGCGCACCGCTGCCGCGTGCTCGTCCACCGAGGCCCCCCACTGCGTGGAGACAGTGGCGCACCGAGGGCCGCCACGGGGGCTCCAGCGCCGCCGCCGGAGCAGCGAGCAGGCCCCCGTCTCGGGCGCCCCCTCCCCCCCGGCGCGCCACCCCCGCCTGGCGGCCCGCTTCGGGCGCGGCCTGACAGACCCCTGGCAGACCATCCCCTTCTGTGACGTCATCCTCGCCTTTCGAGCTCCCCTACGGCCGCACACAGAGGTCCTGGGGCGCGGCGAGGGGCCGTCACGGAAGGGGATGGTTTGCGAGGGGTCGGTTGGGCCGCCCCTGGCTGTTCTTCAAAAAGGAAAGCCGGGGGGCTCGGCGTCGGGGGCTCGCGCCAGCGGCGGCGGCGCTCTGGCGCGGGAGACCCCACGGCTGGAACGCTTTTCGGGGGGGGCCTGCTTCGGGCCCCGAGGCCCACGGAGACTGGGGGCGGCCAAGGGGTAGTCACTTCAGTCGGCCGCCTTCCTCAGTCGGCCACCCTCGTCGTCGTCGTCGTCGTCGTCGTCGTCGTCGTCGCGTCGTCGACGTTGTCGTCGTCGTCGTCGTCGTCGTCGTCGTCGTCGTCGTCGTCGTCGTCGTCGTCGTCGTCGTCATCCCTGGCGTTCTTCGCGTCGGCCGCATCGACTCCCGGAAAAGGTACCGGCTCCGTGGAGCCCCTCCCGTCGCCACGGCTGGATTACCGCCTCGAAATCCCGGGCGGTACGCGCCCTGGGGGGGTCCAGGGAATGGACCGGCATCGGCACTTTTTTGCTCCCCCAGTGCTGGCCCCCGCCTGCGCACCGAGCCTGCGGCACGCGGGGGACATCCCATTCTCAGATCTCCGTGGGCACGACTTGTGCAATCCTGGTCGTGTTCCTAGATCTGAGCCTCTGGGGCCTCGGGCCCCGGCAAGATCAGAATTGGATTCGGGACTTCAAAAACTAAGCCCGAGGAAAAAGTCTGGACCTCGTTGGGGCCACGCGTGGGACAAATCCTATCGTCGGGTGTCTGGGGCCATCGCGTTCAGGGGTGAACAGCATCCCCTTTGGCAGAACACCCTCTGGTGAAGACGTCCTTGGGCCAGACACCGCGGGCGCAGGCCCGCAGAAACTGCGGCTGGCACGGGGCGGGCACGGGCGGGCAGTGGACGAAAACGCCAGGAAACACGGCCAGCGCACGGAGTGGTCGCGGGGCGGGCGCTTGGCGGGCACTGGACGACAACACAAAGAAACACTGCCAGAACACGGAACGGTATGGGGCGGGCACGGGCTGGCAGGGGGCAAAAGCTGGGGGAACCCACCCATTCTCTTCGTCAGAGTGGGTTAGCTACCCCCTCAGTGCAAACACTAGTTGGGGAGCATCGCATAAAGCCTCCCTCGGAGCGTATGTGGAACAACATGTGTGAAGTGTGGGAACGCCTATCTGCGTGGAAACCATATGGGCCAATGTGGCACACGGGGGCAATGGGGTGGGAAGCCATAAAGATCCTCAGGAGGCCAATACATAACCCCGAGAATAAAACAGCAAACACTTGCATAAACAAGAACTTGGAGGTCCGCGCGGCTTTCTTGGATCGACGCCAAACCCCCCTCCCTGGCGCGCGGGGCGCGGCAAGAGCGGCGCCGCCAGGGGAGGCCAGCACAGATCCAAGGTTTCCGCGCGGATCTCCAACAGTGCATGTTAATGCTGGTTTTCTATTTCGAGGAAGTCGGCAGCAAACCATCACAAAACAACCTCCCTCGGAGCGCCTGGACGCCCAACAAGTACATCGCCCTGCTGGTGTCGTCCAGGAGGCGGAGCCCAGAGCGCGCCTGTGGCCCCGCGTTCACCCCCACTTCCGTCGCCACCGCCGTCTTCGTCATCGGAGGGGAAAAGGGGGATGCTCCTCCTCCTCCTCCTCCTCCTCCTCCCCCTCCTCCTCCTCTTCCTCCTCCTGCAAAAGATCCAGGAGGATTCAGCGTAGTAGCGCGGTTTTGTTTTGCTTGCGACGGTCGGATGAGTCAGATTTCCGGACGTTCAAAGCTTTAGCCAACGTTTTGCGTTAAGGCACCCACTGGCATTCACCCTGCTTCCCCAGATGCCGCTGCGTGCTTTAACCCCTCCCTCGGCTGACGCTGACGCAAAAACAACGGTGAAGGTGTCAGTATTATAATGCGGCAGCGATGGGGGATGCACTTCAAATACTCAATGTGAATTCGCACAACAATTCATTTGCTGTGCCAGCTGGAGTGCCCGTTGAACTCGGGCGTGCGTTGCACGCAAAAAACCAGTTGTACTGATACTTTCGCTTCGTTCTGTGCCAGTACTCTCCACAAGTAAATCAATCTTATCTACGCGAATGTGAAACGCGGCTGCTCACGCACACAGGGTACGGGGACAGAGACGAGAAAGGTCTGGCAACGTTAATGAGGTTTCAACGCCAAGTATCTCATGAGGGCCACGCAATGATTCGTTAATCACATCTTGTAGCGCCTCGGCAGCCGCGAAGCTGCCCCACCTTTCTGCCTCTGCGCGGCCTGGCGGCCCCACGTGCGCGAACGGTGACGTAGACTGCGGCGCTCTCTCTGAGCGTGGCTTATGTGCGTAGTGCCGCTGTGCGCCTGATCCCTCTCCTCCTCGTTAATCCAGCGCCCCCGATCCCAATGGCGAATGGTAAAGCCAGCGCGGGGATTTTAAGTGCCCAGGGCTGACCAATAAGACGAATCCGGGGCGCAAATGTAAAGAGCCGGAGATCGATTGATTTGCTCGTTCGCCAGGCAATCAAATCCGCTCTGTGGGTCAACCAACCATTGCTGCCCGTTGGTAGCCCACTGATCGAAGTGGTGCGATGCGAACCAGGCCTGCCAACGCAGGCTCTTTCGGCGCGGTGGGCCACGGCCCAATAAACTGCGGCGAGGGAATTTCGATCTGTTCATGCCCTTCATATTGCTCTTAGTGGCCGGTTTTGCGGTGGGCCAGGTGCTGTGTAATTCCGGGGGGCGTTGCTTCAAATTAAACTGCATATCTTGGTCGTTATGACTCGTCCAGTGATGAGTCGGGCACTGCTTGTAGTAAGTATGGGGTCCATTCGCCACTTCATTGAATGCTTGCGCTAGCTCCTCGGCTATGAACCTTGGCAAGCCAATGAGAATCCCCCGGATCGAATGTGCAATTCGTGCCATGATCCTCGTTCCCCACTTCAAGGAAGTGCGATCCTTTAAATAGGCGGGCAATCTGTGAAAGTTTGGCATCCTGATGATGTTCGACCAGCATGTCGACCTCGGTAATCTCACGGCTGTTGAGGCCGATTCATGATGTCGCCGACGCGCTCCTCCACGGAGCTTGGTCCTGTTTGTCGCCGGCTCTGTTGTCGCTTCAGCGGGCTGGGCTGGTTGGTTTCATCCGTCAGTGACGCGTGTTCCCCCCGGCGCGAGGGCCTTCGCGGGGCTGGCGGGCCCCCCGCTGCCGCCGCTGCCCCCCGCGGTGACATTCGGATTCGGAGCAGCTCGAGGAGTCGGCTCCACTGGCGGAGCAGGTGGAGCGTTGACCTGAGCTGTTCCCCCGCTGCCGCCGCTGCCGCCCGCGGCGACATTCGGACTCGGAGCAACTGGAGGAGTAGGAGCCACTGGCGTAGGTGGAGCATTCATCTTGTTGCGCGACGGCTGGTGCTGCACGAGGCAAGGCTCGGCGCCTTTGGTGAGCCTCGTTCCTGCTGGAACCGTCGGTAAGTGGGCGTGCGCGGCGTTTAATCATGAGATTGCGCATCGCTTCAGCCACTTTCTTTAACCGATTGGTAATGGCATCGCGGGTGACTCCTACCTGGGCCTTTAAATTCAGGCGCGTGGGCTCTGGTGGCCGACCGGCAAGCGCGTCCTGCGCCCCCCCCCCCCCTCGCACCACTTGCGCGCGACGCGCCTCGATGTTACCTGCAGTCCGCTGGCATTTAAGAGCGTGCTCACTTCCCGTGGCCCCCCATGGTCGCCGCCTGCGCTGACGACAGCTCCAGCGCGCCCCGCTGCAGCGCCCGCCGGGCTCGGCCGCGGCGCAAAATGCTCCGAGGCCCTCCTCGCTCACATGCAACCCCGCATCGCCGCCAGGCGCAAGACCGGGGGGCTGGATGGGGCCCTCGCCCCTCCTCGAGGCCAGCGGGCCCCTTGCCGCCCGCCGAAGGATGCTGGGCTCGAGGCGTCAGTGGAGGATTCGCAGTCGCAGTCAGCGCTGTCGTGCCCGTAGGCGTCGTAGGCGCGCAGCGCGGCGATGTCGATCTCGTCGAGCAGCTGCTGGCAGCTGACTCTCGGGCCAGCCTTCCGCCCCACCAGCTGCTGGTTGACTGCGGGACGCTCGGAGTCGACGCGACCCGGATCGGGCGGGCCTCGCGATGGAGCATCGGCGGGATCCAGCTCCCCGGGCACCCGCCGCGCATGGAAGCGCCCGCCAGTGAAACGACCAAGGGCCGCAATCTCACGATGCGCAGGGAAGTGGCGGGATCGCGCCCGACCCATGGCAATGGCCAGGGCTAGGGCAAGATAGCCCGCAAGGAACAGCGCGCGCCGTCGGCGATGTGCGCGAGTGCGAATCATGTGTCGAACAGCCGCGACGGGAGCCCGACCCTCCATCCTCGTGATCTCGCCCTCCTCCCGCCACCTTCCGTAAGCGCAGACCTGCCAGCCCGAAGCAGCCGCTGCCGAAGCTGGAAGTTTCGCAGCGCGCCCAAGGCTGAGCGCCCGCAGCCCGACGAGCGGCGGGGCGGGTCCGAAGATTCTCCGGGCCGAGCCCGGGGGCGTCAGGGCGAAGTGCGCGCTCGCGAGCGCTCGCCGCCTCCTGCGCCCTGAACCTCCATCTCTCGTCGCACCTCCCAGCCAGCGCAGCGCCCGTGCTTTCCTGCCGAGCGCAGCGCGCGCCGAAGCCGCCCGTCGAAGCGTCGCCGTCGCGCGAGAGGTCGCTCCAAGGCGCGTCCGCGCTACGCGAGAGGATAGGGAACAAATCGCGCATCCACCGAAGCTCTCTGGCCGCGGCTGGCCACGACTGCGCGATAACTCCAGCGCAGCGCTCGGCAAAACTGCAGCGCGCGCCCACGATCGACAAGGCTTCGCGACGGAGAGGGCTGGCCCACGCGATGTGCCCCATCAACTTTCTGATCCCATTGCCACTCGCGCGGCCAGTGCCCAAGACGAAGTCCAGCGCCAAGCGAAGCTTCCACATCCTCATCGAGCTCACGCGGGCCACGCGCCTGACCGCGTCGAATGGGGGCCCCGTGAACTCGGAGGGCGGTTGTCCGCCCCTCGGAGACCTCGCGGCGCCCGAGCCCCGTGCCTTCCAAGACAGGGCGGGCCTCCGAGACGCGCGAAGTGGCCCCCGGGGTCCAGAGGCGCAACGGCGGAATTATCTGCGCGCACGGAGTGCCTGACTGGGGCGCCATCAAAGACCTGACGGCACCATGTCGGAGACCCCGTCAACGCTTTTCAAGCCTATCTCCTCGCCCCCGCAGAGACAGCGGCCCGGCGCAAAAAGAGAGCCCGGGACCAGCCCGTCGGGGGGCCAGGAAGCGAGGGGAGCAAGAGGGCCCCAGGCGGGCCCGCTCCTCGGCCGACAGGCCGGGGATGCAATGCGGTTTGGCCGCGGGCAAAACAGGAAGCTTGTGCGTCCCTGGGTCGAGGGCAGCGCGGCGAGAGGCTGCCTGTGCATCACGCTGAGCGACCTGGAGAGGTCACCCACCGTCGACCTTGACTCGGCCTGAAGAGCCGCTCGTCGGCAAAACGGACGTGACGGGAGGGCGGAAAGCTGCGTTGGCAGCGCGAGAGTCAAGGGTCATTCGAAGAGAGCCATTCTTGTTGCTCGCAAAGAACACCCGGGCGCTCGAGAAGCCCACGATGCCTCTCGCGCGCAGGTCGCCCAATAACTGGCCATGCACCGCTCGGCGTCGCGCGAGCGAAGGGTCGGAGTAGACGGAGGAGACGCCAAAACCGTCGTCATCAGGAGGGGCGCAGCCGCCCTCCTCGCGAGGAAGACGAGATCTCCGCTCCACCCGCATCTCGGGCTCCTGACCGTCGAGCACCTTGGAGAGCTCCACGGGCTTAGAAGAGACCGGAGGCGGCGAGACGAAGCCCGCGCGGCGCGGAGACGGTCGGGCCCAGAGACGCCAAATACAGAGCGATCGGTAACGCAACAAGCTCTTCACACCAAGGCTCCCAAGAGCGAACGGTGACGTAGACAAGCTGATAAGACCAAGGCTCCCAGCAGAGAGCGGTGACGTAACAAGTTCCTGACACCAAGGCCCAGCCAAGGCTCAGGAACGGGCGGCAACGCAACAATCTCTGAACACCAAGGCTCCCAAGAGCGAGGGGTGACGTAACAAGCTCTCAACGCCAAGGCTCCCAGTTCGAACGGTGGTGTGAGTAATTTCGGTTTCTGTTTCTGAAGCGCTCTTTCCGTTTCTGTGCCGCCCCAGGTTCTAATGGCCCAGACCCCCAATTTCCAAGCCGCTCCTCGGATTTCCCGGGGGTTCTTGGGGTCTCCCAGGAGGTCCTCGGCCAGCCTAATGCGATCTTCCGAAACCTTGAGAGCGTGTCAAGAACCGTCTCAGATGGCCAAAAAGGGCCCCGAAGCGGTCCAAGGTCCAAGACAGCTTCAAGACGGCCTTTTGTGACCCCCGGATGGCCCAAGGGGCCCAGAAGACGCCTCAAGAGGGTCCCGAGAGCACCCAAAGAGGCAAACATCGTCCCATCCCTTCATGGAAACGTATACTTTCAACATGTCCGCCTCTTGGGTTTCCACAGCGTCCTCGACGGCCAAAGAACCTATCAAATCGCCCCAACACGGCCCAAGAGGCCCCTTAAAGAGCCCCAAGACGGCGCAAGAGGGCCCCAAGACGGCAAAATAGGCGCCCAAGACGGCTCACCCCAAGAGGGCCCCAAGGTGGGGAATTCGAGCTGCGATTTCGAGCCCTTCGCCCCAAGGGGCCGCCCGAGATCGCCAGCAAGCGCCCGAGAAGTCCCCACGGACCCCAAGAGGCCCAGAACAAAGAAAACCAAGAGGCCCACAAACGGCGCTGATGAGGCCCCAGGAGGCTTCAAAACTGCATCCAAAAGATTCCCCACAAAGGTTTCCCAAGAGACTGCGACAAACATCAATGAGGCCACTGATCCACAACCCAGGCACGGTGGCGGGGTGCTCTGAAAACCACTCGATCCTTTGTTGCGAATGCCGTGTCGATCCGCAACGCTGGAGCATCTTCCGTGCGTAGGTTCTCGCATTTGCCTCGCTTGACTGTGTACACATGGGCGCGTCCTCGAATCGCTGGGCCCTGCGATATCAAGCTTCAAGCCCTGAGAAGATTTGGGACAAAGGCTCGCGGATGACAGGACCATGCAAAGAAAAGCGGGAACAACGGCGGGGGGTGTCTTGAAAGCCTGTCCCTACGAGCAGCAATGCGCACAAGGGGGCGCAGCACCACCGACCGCCACACTCCAAAGCAGAGGCGACCGAATGCTGATGGCCTGGGAGGAACACGGCAGATGAATGCCGACGAAAAGCCACCAATAATGTAATAACGTAAATGCAATTAGTTGCCTTTCGTTATGGTCGGGTGGTCAGGGGCTGTTGCCTAGCATGTCACGGCGGCGGACCTGGCGACACGCTATGCCTTGCGAAGCGATAGCGTGTCACGACGCTTGGGCATGGGGATGTGGATAGCTTGTCGCGCCGCGGCGTGGTGGGCCAGAAAGAGGAAGGAGACGGCGGCGCGACACGCTAAGCCAAAGTTCCTGACCGCACATTCCAAGGTGTTGTCCCATCTGCGCGTACCCCACCTCTTGCTGTGAACGCTTCCCGCGTAACCCCGGGGCTGTGGACACTATTCTCGGTCTCCATCGCTTCAGCTTGTTCCAGGGCAGGGCGGCCGACAATCACAAATGAGTGAATCACAAACGAGTGAACCAGCTCATGGTTGTGCCCTGTAAGTTGGCCGCGCACTCACTGTGGTCGCACCGACAAAAAAGGTCACCCCATACATGCACACACACACATATATATATATATGCACATATATATACATACACAGTTATAACGACATATATTTATAAAGAGAGAAGAGAAGAGAGAGAGAGAGAGAGAGAGAGAGAGAGAGAAAGAGAACGCGAGAGAGGGAGAGGTACGGAAAGAGAGAGAAAGAGATACTGCCAAACCAGACGACACTATCACGATAACGAGGGATACAACAAGAGGGAAAACGAGAGCACGCGAGAGAGAGAGAGAGAGAGAACGAGAGAGATAGAGAGAGATATAACACTAGAGAGAGAAAGGGAAAGAGAGAGAGAGAGAGAGAGGCAAACAAACACAGATAAACTGAGAAACTGCGAAGGGGAAGCTGAGAGAGAGAGAGAGAGAGAGTTAGACGGGGAGAGCAAGAGAAAGAGCGATAGAGAGAGAGAGAGAGAGAACAAGAGAGAGAGAGAGAGAGATGGTTCAAGAGCAGCGCTGGTCTCTTAGGCGCGCGCAGAGAGGGGGGGGGCGTGCGGGCGATAGCGGGCGAGGGGATGCCTTGGAGCCCATGTCGCCGCAAGTGAACTGCGCTCCGCTCTCGCCGCAGCAGTCGGTGCCTGCAAGCGTACGTGGGGCACGGGCCTGCTCAGCCCCTCCTCCTCCTCCTCCTCCTCCTTCCTCCTCCCATCTCTCCTCCCTTCCCCTCCTCCTCTTCCCTCCCGCCCTCCCTTCCCCCCCTGCTCATCCTCGTCCTCGTCCTCGTCCTCCTCCTCCTCCCGCCCGCCCTGTCGCCCTCCCGCCCAAGGTTGGGCGGCCGGGGGTCGGGAGGCACGGTCGCGCAAGCAAGCGTCTCCCACCCTGGGGCGCTAGCCCGTCGACCCCGACTACGTTGGCCTGGGGTTGCGGCGCTCGCGGTGGGGCGGTCATGTCCCTGAGGGGCCTTTCACCGCATGAGCAATCCACTGGGGAGTCCCTCCTCCCCCCTCCTCCCCCCCCGTCCTCGTCCCCGCCCTCCCCCCCCCTCTTCCCTTGCTCCCTCTCCATCTCCCCCTGCTGCTGCTGCTGCCCAATCCACCTCCTTTTCCTTCTCCTCCTACTCCGCCTCCTCCTCCTCCTCCGCCTCCTCCTTCTCCTCCATGCCCAAGGAGCGGAGCGAGGGATCCCGTCGCCGCCTACAGCCCAAAAGTCGACTGTGGCCAGCGTGCCGTTGGTGCTGCGCCTCGCGGGGGGGGGCCGCCCCGTGCTCGGAACGCTTTCTCGGACTGCTATTTCTGCACATGTATAGCAAGGGGTACGCTTGTGTATATCCGCGTATATGTATGAACATATCTACGTACAAACGTATGCATGTACGTGTGTACGTGTGTTTGTTGACTTGCGTATGTGTATACATGTGCATATGTGTGCATGTGCATATATGTGTTGGTCGGCTATATGTGTACATGCGCATCTGTCGGTATACACGTATGTGTGTTTATGTATGTGTACAGATCCGCATATACGGACATTCACACACATATACATATGTAGTATATATACATGATCGGCCTCCCGTCCAAGATCATACCTCTCTCTGCTTCTCGTTCCTTCTCTTCCTCCGTCTCCGTTCCTTCTCTTTCTCCTTTCCCCTTTCTCTTTCTCCAAACACAATTCCTCTTCCTCCTCACCATCATCCTTCTCCTCCTCCTTTCCGTTTCCTCCTCTCTGTAGCAGCGCAAATCCAATAATACACAGTGTTTGGCGCCCTCGGAGCAAGGACACACTGTGCATGTTTGCTTATTATGGTTTGTTTGGTCTAGGATGCAAGGGACCATTTTTTGTTTGGGAAGCTCAAGTGCTCCCCGCGGCCTCCCCCCCAGCACCTCCTCCTTCTCCCCCTTCCTCTTTCCCCCTCCTTCTACTCCTTTCCTTTCCTCCTCCTTGCTGCAAAATAAGAGAACCAATAATACACAGTGTTTGGCGCCCTCGGAGCAAGGAAACGCTGTGCTTCACTGTTTTTCCTGTTTTTTTTGGGGGGGGGGGTCTAGGATGGAAGGAAACACGGTATATTTTTTGAGTTGTTTTTTTTGCGTTGGAAGCTCAAGTGCTCCCCGCGACCTCCTCTCCAGCGCCTCCTCCTTCTCCCCCTTCCTCTTTCCCCCATCCTTCTGCTCCTTTCCTTTCCTCCTCCTTGTTGTACAGCAAGAAAACCAAGACTACACAGTGTTTGGCGCCCTTGGTGCAAGGGAACCCTGTGTATGTTTGGTTTTCTGTTTTTGTTGGTCTAGTATGCAAGGAAACGCTGTGTTTTTTCTTGGGTTTGGGAAGCGCAAGTGCTCCCCGCTTCCTCCCCCCAGCACCTCCGCCTCCTCCTCCTTCTCTTCCGGAGCTCCCAAACCAACAAACAACAAACTAACCAAACACACGCAGTGTTTCCTTGCATCCCAGACGCCACAAAATCAGGACAAACAGACATACACAGCGTTTCCTTGCTCCGAGGGCACCAAACACTGTGTATTCTTGGTTTTCTTGCTTGGCAACAAGGAAAAGGAAAGGAAAGGAGGATAAGGAAGGGGAAAGAGGAAGGGGGAGAAGGAGGAGGTTTTGGGGGGAGGCCGCGGGGAGCACTTGAGCTTCCAAAACAAAAAAACAAATAAGCACAAGTACACAATGTTTCCTGGCATCCTAGACCAAAGAAGCCAGAACAACCACCCATACAGTGTTTCCTTGCTCCGAGGGCGCCAAACACTGTGTATTCTTGGATTTGTGCTGCTACAGAGAGGAGGAAACGGAAAGGCGGAGGAGGAGAATGATGATGGGCGAGGATGAGGAGGAATTGTGTTTGGAGAAAGAGAAAAGGGAAAGGAGAAAGAGAAGGAACGGAGAAGGAGGAAGAGAAGGAACGGATAACCAGAGAAAGGTATGATCTTGGACGGGGGGGGGGGGGGGGCAACCACGTATCTATATATAGATATATAGATATACAAACTACATGTATAAATGTATACATGTCGATCCATGTATGTATGTCGTCCAGCGCCCTCGGAACGAGCATCGGCTCAAGCTGCACCCAGGTCGCTCAACCCAGCCCCCGCGGGCTGCGCGCCCGCGCGCGGTGCGCGCTCGGTGCGCGCAATCGCCCTCGCGCCCCCGCGCGCCGCCCGCCTCCACCCGGAGAAGGGCACGCACCCGAAGCCCAACGACGGCGACGTGCGAGGCTGCACTCCCAGACATCCGAGGATCATCACGAACAGCGAACGTATCTATATCTATGCCCTTGCGGTCTGGCTTCTGGGGCGCGATCCTGCGGATACGCAGTCGCAAGGATGCGTTCCGCGCGGGGCATTCGCGAGAAAAACGTCCCGTATCCGCGGGGTCGCGGCCCAAGGGCCCTGCCCGCGAGGCCGCGGATACGAATATGTTTTCTGCCAACTGTGGTGTCGGGTCCTCGTTTTGAATCAGCAGCGCTGGGCGTGACCTTCCTTCCCTCCTCCTTCCCCTCCTCCCCCACCACGCCATGTCGGCACACCCGTCGCACATTCCCATAGGGAGCTCCACATAAAGCCCCAGTGGTTGCGCCCGCATGCAGCCACCATCCCACTTTGGTGCATCCCTCACTCGTTTCGCCTAAGGCCCAATGGTTGCGCCCGCATGCCGGCACCACCCCACTTTGGCACACTTGTCACACGTTTCTTGGCCCCACAGCGAGCTCCACCTAAGGCCCCGGTAGTTGCGCCCCCAAGCCGCCACCACACCACGTTGGCGCATCTCTCACATGTTCCGTGGCCCCGTAGGGAGCTCCTCTTAGGGCCCCAGTGGCTGCGCCCGCATGCCGCCACTACCCTACTGGGGCACACCCCTCACATGCTTCGTGGCCCCACAGGGAGCTCCACCTAGGGCCCCAATGGCTGCGTCCGTATACCATTACTTTAGACGTTTCGTGGCCCCAAATGGAGCTTCATCTAAGGCCCCAGTGGCTGCGTTCGCATGTCTTCTCCAGACCATTTCGGCGAACCCATCGCACGCTCATGGCCCCACATGGAGCTTCACCGAAGGCTCCTGTGGCATGAATCGTATGCGTGACCGCGCTCATGTCGGCACCACCCGTCGCACGTTTCGTGGCACCATAGCGATCTCCACCTAGGGCGTCAGTGGTTGCGCCCGCATGTCGCCGCCAGGCCACTTTGGCGCACCCCTCACACATTCCGTGGCCCCATAGGGAGCTCCACCTAGGGCTCCAAGGGTTGCGCCAACATGCCGCCGCCACTCCACTTTGGCGCACCCCTCACACGTTCCGTGGCCCCAGAAGGAAGCTCCGCCCAAGGCCCCAATGGTTGCGCCCGCACGCCGCCACCATCCTACTTTGGCACACCCCTCACACGTTTCGTGACCATGCCCTTCCCCCACCCCACTTTGGTATACTCCTCACACGTTTCGAGGCCCCACGAGCCGCTCCACCGAACGCCCCAATGGTTGCGTCCGCATGCCGCCTCGACCCCACCTTGGCGCACCCCTCGCATGTGCCGTGGCCCCATATGGAGCTCCACCTAAGGCCCCAGTGGTTGCGCCCGCATGCCACCACCACCCAACTTTGGCGTACCTCTCACACGTTTCGTAGCCTCACAAGGAGCTCCTCCTAAGGCCCCAGTGGTTGCGCCCGCAGGCCCCCCCATTCCACTTTGGCAAACCCCTCACACTTTTCGCGGCACCACGGGGAGCGCCACCTAAGGCCTCTATGGCTGTGCCCGCATGCCCGTGGCCCGATAAGAGGCCCCACTTAGAGCCCCAGTGGCTGCGTTCGCATGTCTTCTCCAAACAGATTCGGCGCACCCCATCATACGTAGTCGCTCAACGGGGAGCTCCACCGAAGGCTCTCGTGGCAGGAATCGTATGTGTGACCGCCTCCATTGTGGCACACACACACACACCACAGGTGGCCCCAGAGGGAGTCCCACCTAGGGCCCCAATGGTTGCGCCCGCATGCTGCCACCTCCACATTTCGGCACATCCCTCACAAGCTTCGTGGCCCCATGCCCCACTGGCTGCGTTCGCATACCTTCTCCAGACCATTTCGGCACACCCGTCACACGCCCAATAGGAAGCTCCACTGAACGCCCCAACGGCAAGAATCGCATGCGTGACCGCACCCACGTCGGGACACCCCTCACACATGGCCCCACAAGGAGCTTCATCTAAGACCCCATTGGCAGGAAACGCATGCGTGACCGTGCCCATGTCGGCACACCCCTCGCACGTATCGTGGCCCCATGTGGGAGCTCCGCCGAAGGCACCAGGAGGGGGGACACATGCGTCACCGCGCCTATTTCTGCACACCCCTCTTTTGGCCCCCCTGGGAGCTCCACCGAATACCCCATCGGCAGGAATCGCATGCGTGACCGCACCCATTTTGGCACACCCCTCGCACGTTTCGTGGCCCAATGGGAGCTCCACCAGCGGCCCCGCCGCATGCTGCTCCCCAGACCGCGCCCTGCTGCGTTCCAAAGCTAGGTCGGCAGATGCTCAGATCAGCCGTGACGGGTTACATCCAGATGTAACCCGTTGCGGCTGACCCTTGCGACCGTTGCTCCGTCCTTCTCACGCGCGTCTTTGTCCTTTTGCTAGCCCCCTCCCTCAGTTTCCACCTGTTCTGTGGCACTCGGAGCCGCGTAGGGTTGGGTCCTTAGCTAAGCTAATATTTTCCAATGCGCGGCCCCAAACAATCCTGGCCTCGTCCCTGGGGCCAATTTCTCGCCCCAGATCCACTTTTTGGTGGCCCGGGGGTCCCCACAACGGGCCCCAGAGGCCCCAGTCGAGGAAACACCGCCAGTGGACAAACTCAGACGAACTGTTTTTTGACGTCGGCCCAGGGCTCTCTGGTTAGAGGAGCAGGGCCTTTGTATACCAGCACAGGCTTTTGCCGTCGTCATCGTCGTCGTCGTCCGTCGTCGTCGTCGTCGTCGTCGCCGTGCTCCCACAGGTCGCCACACCCCTTCAGGGGGTGCGAAGAGATGCTCGCGCGCGGTTGCTTCGCTCTCCGCTTGGGTGTCCACAAAGCAGCGCGGTGACGGGCCGTGCGGTGACCTCGAAATACCCACAGATCTCACCGCGTCGTCCGTCGCCGCACGGCTCTGGGGATCCCCGATCTTGGCTGGAGGGGGCGTCCCTCTTCCAGGGGGCGGCCCGCGAGCGATATCAGACCCTGACATCCCGGCGTCGTAAGAACAGTCGCGGCGGGCAATTTTTGGCCGTTCCAGCCTCCACGGACGCCTGCTGGGCCCTGGGGCCGTCGAACAACTGCTCAGGATGACAAGCCGGGCTCCGGGAAGGGGTCCACACCTCTGGGGAGCCACGCGGGGAAGCAACCGCGACGTCGAACGACGGGGCCTGGCAATCGCTGCTCTTGCTGCGCGGCTCCAGGGGGCCGCGGGAGGGGGGCAAATCCAAGCGCGCGGCCAGAGCTGAGGGGACCCCTGGTGGGCCCGTGCCGAATGCCACCAGGATCACTCTGACAGCCGTCGTGCTACCAGAAGGAACGCTGAGTGAGGAACGAGGGGGCTTCTCCGACCACGGCGAGCCTCGGCCGCGAGCAAGTCCCACGAGGCCCGCTCCCAGCCCCCCCGCTGCGCGCGCGGCCGGCCCCCCGAGCCCCGCGCATGATGGGGGCCACGCAATACGTCAGGCCGTTGTGGAAAGCGACCGACTTCCTCGCGTCCACGTAGGAGCCCTCCTCTCGGCCACACGCAAGAGTGGCCCCAGGCAAGAGTGACCTGTGGCGCGCGGCTTTTGGGGGCTGCGGGGACGCCAAACCCAACCGTGCAGGCCAGTGCTGGGGGGACCCCTGTGGTCCCGCACCTGAAAGGTCACTCTGGCGAAAGGTCACTCTTACGCGTAGCCGATCCTTGAAGTAGATGACGCCAGAGTCCATGTACGACCGGCCCTGCGCAGCCAAGCGAAAGTCCCGTCAGGACGGGATCGGGAAGCCGGCCCGAATCGGAGTGTCTTTCGGAATCGAGATCGGATCAGATCGGTATGCCAACTTGCTGTATCGGATCGTCGGGGTCTCGGACTCGTATCTCGGTGGCGAGCCCAGGGGGAAGTGAGAAGTATCGGGCCTTCTCACAAGGCTCAGAAGTCCTCTGGCCTTCTGAAAGGTGTTCTAAGCCTCCCCCGAAAACACATATTACTTCTCAGAAGGCGCGAGGGCTTCTCAGAAGTCCCGCCGCCGTCTGAGAAGGTCTTCTCCTTCTCGCCTCCCCCCCTTGCCGCCGCCGAGTCTGGGATCGAGCTGGCTGGACTCGATGTCGAATCGGCTGTCGATCGGATCGGCACTGGTCAGGAGCAAGCGCCGCGGCGCTTCCAGGCCTCAACCCCCTAGCCCTCTGCTTGTCTAAATTGAAGGGGCCCAAGGACACACAAATAAACAGACACAGATCCCAGGATCCCCCTATATCTTTGCATATTTTCTGGATGTTCGCCTTCCCCTCCACTTCCCGTATCCGCCACCGTGCCTCCTGGCACGTTGAGGCGTGGTAGAATGCCGAGTGCTGTCTGGCAGGGTTTCTATAATCTTCTACGGGCCCCCCCACCTCCTCGGGAAGCGCCTCGCCGCGTGCACCGGCCATACTTCCAGGGGGTTCCTGGGCGGCCATGGCGCCTCCCTGGGGCTCTCCAAGGCTTTCATGACGGCCAGGCAGGCCCCCAAAAAGGATCCAAGTGGGCCCCGAATCGCCGAAGCGATCGCTCGAAGACGCCCAAGATAGTCTCAAGATGGCCCAAAAGGCTTCTAAGGCGCCCCAAGAGGCCTCCAAGAAACCTCCCAAGAGGGCCCCCCCCCAGGCACAAATCTGTGCTTCTCCTTGCGTTATTGAATGGTTTGAGCGTTCTCGACGCTTCCACGAGGGCCCAAAGACGGCCTAAGAGCGCCTCAGGATGGCCCAAGAGGCGCCCAAGACAGCGGAACGCGAACCGAAAGTCCGAGCCTTCCGCCCCAAGGGGCCCCCAGGAGGCCCCAAGAGGCGCCCAAGAGGCCCCAATAGGCTCCAAAAAGGCCCCCAAATAGGCCCCCAAACGTCCCCCGAGAGGCCTCGAACAAGTGCCTCCAAAGAGGCCCCCGAGAGGCCTGCCACGAGATCCCAACGATGATGATGATGATGATGATGATGATGATGATGATCATCATCATCATCATCATCATCATCATCATCATCATCATCAACATCAACATCAACATCAACATCATCATCATCATCATCATCATCATCACTACGACCATCATCATCAGCAGCATCGTCACACGCTGTTTGTTCGGCGGGGGACGAGTGTTCTAGAAATGAATGCTCGCAACGATGAGCGTGCTGCTCTTCCGCAGCACCGAGGCGAAAGCAAACATCCTCTCAAACAAAGAGATCGGCACACTATCCTCCAAAGAGAGACCCCGCAGGTGGTTCCGAGGGCAGGGCGGGCGGGTGAACCGCAGATGGCTTCGGGTACAAGCAAGCAACAGAGGCGACAAAGCTAATATGCTGCTGCTACCTGAAGCGACGACACCCCACGCCCCGCTAATATGTCCACACGCGCCCCCATGATACGCTGTTTGTTCGGCGGCGAGCGAGTGTTCTAGAAATGAATGCTCGCAGCGATGAGCGTGCTGGTCCTCCGCAGCACAGAAGCGAGAGCAACCAGCCTTTCCAACAAGGAGATCGGCGCACAATCCTTCAAAGAGAAGCCCCCATCCTCCTATTCAGGGCTGGCATTATAGATGGAGGCTCTCGCGAGGGAGAAGAGGGAGCGAGCGAACGCAAAGTTCAAATCATCAGGTCTTCTCACTGCGGGCGGTGTGCATCTGACGCCTTTTGTGTTTCTACCCCTGAGACGAATGTGGGGAAAAAAACCAGTTCTGTCACATATGCCCGTCCTGTTGAGACAAGTTCGCTCAAGTCCCTGTACGTCCTCGGGCTCAGAAGCAGCAAACAAGTCCACGCACCGATGCCTCCAATAAACCCCAAACGTGCATCTGTCACTCACGAAATTGGTGATTCCGATCACTGGACTATTGCACAATTCTTTGCCAAGGTGTGTCCACACACGGCTTCCTTGAGGCATCTCCAGCAAAAACTGAACTCCGGATTCCCAGCAAGTTGTCGCGACAGGTAGTACCTGTCGCATTGCTTGCGCCTGCTACTGTCGACGACAGTAACATTACAGCAACTTCGCCTCGCCGAGCGTGCGCGCTGAGTCGGTGCTTCAACGGGGCACTTAGCACAGCGTGTCCCAGCGCGTCGGCTAGCCATATCCAGGCGGGCACCCATTGGGCCGCCAGGCGCGAGCCTATGCCCTCCAAGCGATCTCCGATCATCAACGCCTTACTCCGCTTGGAGAGGGCTGGGTGCCTCCTGGCAGCGGCACCGCGCGGCCCCACAGCAAGGCGGGCTCCAACTCGCGCAGGCACTGCTCGCCGCACGCCAGCAACACCGCGCTGTGGCCCTGCGTGCGCTGCCGCAGGCGCGCACTCTTCTCGTGCCGCGCCATGTTCTTCAGGTGCCACCAGCCTCCTCTGCGCTGCACCTCGGCCTGGCTGCGCTCGTTGTTCGCACGGTCGATACTCGCGCCTGAGTGCCTGGCCTGGTATGGCGTGATCAACCGCAGCTGCATAATATCGCAGGTCGCCTTCACCTGGCGGAGCAGCATAGGGTAGTCGAACCCCTACACCGCCTCGTGCGTGTTGAGCGTCTGGAGGTGTTCCAGCACAGGCCCCAGCCACAGCAGCCACGAAGAGTCCAGCTTCACGCTCAGGTCGAACTCCCCCACCTTGTCGGGCGCCCCTCGCTCCTGCGGGTGCATCAGCAGGCCACAGTAGCGACTGCCTGCACAGGGCCTCACTATACCCACAGGGCGCAGCCTGAGGAGGGACGAAGGTCGAAGGTAAGTAGAAACCGCCAGAGCCAGAAACACTGCCATCATTCGTTGAACACGCAAGTCCTGGCCATGCATAAGGGCACACCATGCGATCAAAGACTCGACATCCTGGCTCGGCCAGGCGTCAAACGCTTCCAGCCCTTGAGCGCCTCCCACATCCGTTGCAATGAGCTCGCGCCCAGCCGTCCGTACTTTGGGTAGAACTGGTTCACGGCCGCCGCCACACACATGCCCGTCGAGGCCTGCTCGTCCTGCAGGTAGAGGGAGGTGTAGTGCACCAGGCAGGCGTCCATCGTCTCCGACGGCATCTCGAAAAAGTGCTGGCGGCCACACCTCTCCTTCAGCTGCTCCAATACTCTCTGGTGCTGAGTCCTCACCCTGGGCGCCACGGTGCTCGACTTTAGGTATCGGTCGATCGGCACGCCGTCTTCGATCGCCCGAGAGACTGCTGAGCGGCGCCGCCTGACCCGCCTCGCCAGCGCCCGCTGCCGTTTGGCGGCGTTGGCAGCCTCTGACTCGCTGGTAGTGCCGCTGGAGATCTGTTCTGCTGACCGTGTCCGCTTTCCAATGACGCGCCTTTGGGTATCTGCAGGCCGCGGCTCCCCGGCAGCTTCCAGGTTCTGAGCCGCTGATCCTCCTGCTGGCGCCCCGCCCTGCAGCGTCGGAGGCAAGGTTGATGGCCTCCTGCAGCTGGACTCTGCCGGCAGCTGCCGAATCAGCACCCTCGTTCGCGGAACATATGGGACAGGAAGGGAATGCGTATGGGGCCACGAAGAGCGCGAACGAGCGGGGGGCACGAAGGGCAGATAATGCGGGGCCACAGAAGGCAACGACGGGGCCACTGAGGGTAGCAACTGGGCCACGTGGGACAGCGATGGGGCCACGAAGGGCGACAGCGGGGCCACGAAGGGCATGCATATGGGGCCACGACGGGCGCGAACGAGCGGAGGCCACGAAGGGCACACATAGATGGGGCCACGAGGAGCAGCGAGGGGGCCACGAAGGGCTGCAACGGGGCCACGAAGGGCAGCAAGGGGGCCACGAGGGGCTGCAACGGGGCCGCCCCGAGGGGCTGCAACGGGGCCACCAAGAGCAGCGAGGGGGCCTCGAAGGGCTGCAACGGGGCCACGAAAGGCAGCGAGGGGGCCACGAAGGGCTGCTACGGGGTCACGAAGGGCAGCGAGGAGGCCACGAAGGGCTGCAACGGGTCCACGAAGTGCAGCGACGAGGCCACGAAGGGCTGCAACGGGGCCACGAAGGGCAGCGAGATCCCGATTCCTAAATAATCTGTGAGGGAGTCCTAAGCGTGAGCGCGACTCCTGGGTGCCTGAGTGTCGGGAGCGCGGCGCTTGAGTAAATTGCAGGAAATTCCAAAGCAAGAGCGCTATTCTGGAGTAAGTTACAAGCAAGTCTCCAGCGAGAGGGCGACTCCAGAGCGCCGAGAGAGCGATTCCTGAATATATTGTAAAGAAGTCCCAAGCGAGAGCGTGATTCCTGCATAAAATGCGAGGAAGTCTCGGGCGGGAGCGGGGGTCATGGCTAAATTGTGAAGAAATCTTAAGCGGGAGCCATTGTTGTAACCCGGGGGCCAACAACGCAATCTGAGGAATACTGCAGACTTTCCCTAATAAAAAACAGGGTTCGAGCGCAGGGAGGGGCACTTCAATTGAAAAATACAACGTGCACCGGAGGGGGGGATCAACAATAGTTATTCGGCAGTAGTGAGAGTTCAACAACAACCAACAACACCAAAAACAAGCAAACGCACAAACAAACAACAAAACCAACAACACCACCACCAACAACAACAGCAACAACATCACCAACAACAGCCTAAACCAAACAACCACAACAACACCAACACCAATAACACCAACAACAATGACAACACCACCAACGACAACAACAACACACATCCAACTCATCAACAACAACAACAACACCAACGACAACAACAACAACAACAACAACAACAACAACAACAACAACAACAACAACATTAATAATAATAACAACAATCATCCGCATCGCGGGATCTCACTTCAGCCACGCACCCAGGGACAGTGAATGACCGTTCGGCCCCCTCACTCTGACGAGGGGCCAACGGTGGGGGATTACGAGCTGACATTCCGAGCCCTTCCCTCCACGATGGGCCCGTAAGACCCTCAGGACCCCCAAAAGGCCTCCAAGAAGTCCCTAGAGAGCCCCAAGATGCCCTCAGGGGTCTTGAAAAGACTCGAAAGAGTCACTACCGAGGCGCCCACAAAAAGCCTGAAGAAGCCTCCGAGAGGCCCCCCAAACGCCCCCAAGAGGTCCAAAGAGACCTCAGCGAAGCTCACCAAATGCCTCCAACAGCCCGCCAAGAGGCCCCCGGCAGGCATCCCAGGAGACCCTCATATGCATCCAAGAAGCCTTTTGGCCGCAGCCCACGCACGGTGAGGGCTTGGTCCGAAAGCCACAACATAACTCCCACGACCGTCGCAAGCTCTCACTACTTCTAGGGGTCGGCGGAATGGCGTAAGCCACTTGCATAAAGAACGAATGGACTTTTCAAGCCACGGCGAGCCTCGGCCACGAACTGGCTTCCCGACCTGAGTGTAAGGAACATCCCAAAGCCTTGAGCCCCTCCTTAAGCCAGTGGTCCTTACTTCAACAACTTGACTGCGTTCCGGCTCACTACATCTGACAGCCCAATCAACTGCGATCCAACGTGAGTGGATCTCAGCGTTGAAATGTGTTCAACACGACAATACCCGAAACACCTTATTTGGGCGCGCTGAGGTGTCCAATATGCCGTGTTCCCTTACATAGGCGGCAACCGGCAGTGGCATGGCAAACGCTACGACGCCAAGCCACGACAACGACAAACGACCTTGTCTTGAATGGGATCCACGTTGACGTAGCTAGCCATCTTGCCGTAAACGAAATACTGGGCGGTGTACATGTACCAAGCCCGCTCCCCGATGATGTAACCAGCCACGATGGCGGTCCATCCGCAAACTTGATGCGCTTCTTGAATTATTTTGCTCATCCTCTTTATCCTCCTCCTCCGTCCATCTCTCTTTCTCTTCCGTGTCCCGCTAAAACGTCGGCATCGGTAATGATATTCCTCCTATTCGGAAACTGTCGATGCTTCCGCTGTTGTGTCCATCACTTGGTCAGACGCGCACTCGCGGGTGATTAACAAACACCCGGAACACTGCCGTTCAATCCAATCCCGTGTGATGTTATGTACTGTGACTCGTCCGTTCTGGTGCGCCGAAGCCGCGCCAACAATGCTGGTGCCCCACGGTATCACCCTGAAACACGATTTGGTGGCCTGTTGGTATGCGGTGCTGTGGCATAGGAGCCGGGTGGAACCAATCACGGTGCCGTCAGGTCCGATCTGGCAGCTCGCTGCCCACGGTGCCACACTTGGATCCCGCGGGCGGTCCGGTGCTTTTCGGAGCCAAGCGATACCGCACCCTGGTGTCGCGCTGTGCAGATTCGAGGTGCCCTGGAATTCGACTCGGTGGCCCCGTGCCGTGTTCTGTCGTAGAGGGGATCCTACCACCAGTCACTGAAGACATCTGTGCAAAATGTAACTCCTAATCGTGAGGCCCATCCTTATCCCCACAAGCTCTGCAAACAATGCCCGATCAATGCACCTGATGTGTCGCGCGTGCTGTGTCTTGTATGCCCTGACATGCCACATGTCAGGGCATGCATGGCACGGCACGACACGCATGTCAAATGCGTGTCGTGCCGCCCGTGCCGTACGTGCCATGCTGTGCATGTCGTGCAACGCGTACTGGTCGACGCTGGCAATGGCGCGCGTGCTATGTCACGTATGCCGTGTGGCGGCGTCGGCATCGTGAGAACTGTGCCGTCTTGCATGCCGTGCCGTGCCAGGCAAGCCGTGGTGTGCGTGCCGCACTGTATGGTCCGTGCCGTGCGCGCTGTTCCATGCCTGCTGTGCAGTGCCGCGCGCTCTGCGACACGAGCGCATCTGTTTTAAACGGCTTCGACCAGCGTGCCGTGCTGCGCTTTTCGTGGCGTGCGTGCCGCGCCATGCATGCCCTGCTGCGTGTTCGCTTGCTTGCATCCGCCGATGCGGGTGAGTCGTGGAACCAAAACCAACGCTTCTGACCCCCGTTTGAATATTGTCTGGGCTCGGTTTCTCGCTGGCTTTCTCGAAGAGCGGGCCGGCGGCAACATCAAACGACAACAACTTGCACCTGTCAACGTCGATGCGCTGCTCCTCCCTGGCTGCCTCGGGAGGGACGGGTATGTCTGGCACCCCGGGCATGAGTAAACAACCACGTCGCAATCTACAGTTGCAGGCTGCCGTGGAGAGGCGGGCGATGTAGTTGGCAACGGCGCTTCACGCGCGGGGAAGCCGCCTCTGGAGCGGTGGGCGTCCACTCTCGGGCGCCCAGCCTTAAAAACGGATCGTGGCGGCAGGCGTACTTATGAGTGGTCGTACCATGGTCGGCGGCCCCTCCCTCGCTTACCCCTCCTTATTCCCTTCTCCTTGTTATTGGCCCTCTCACTGACCAGCGTCCTTCGGGTCTCGGTCTCCTTCTCCCTCCTTTGAATCGCCTTCCTTCTTGGCAGGTGTGGAGGGTGAGGCGACATGTCGGTGCGAAGCATGGTCTTGCATCCCACCGGCGCATTCCTTAAAACACCAGAACACCTTCTCTTCTCCCTATTACTTGCGCACGTTAACTGCCCTCGGTCTTCCGGCTGCTCCGAACCGGGCAGCTGCACCTGTGAGTGGTGTAGAAGCGACCTAATGCTTCTACGTACCTCGCGACGCCTGGATCTTTGATCAACAAGTTGATCCTTTACTTTTCCCAGGCCGCACACGAGCAGGTGACGACGACACCTTGAGACTAGTGGCAGGATTCAAGCGCCCAGCCCTCTCACCGACGTTCGATTCGCAAGCGCCCTCCGCCTGACGCGATTTCTCCTGAAATGGAATAGACTCGTCATCGTCACTGTCATCGTCAAATGGTGATGTTACGCATGACGATCACCAATGATCCCACTTCCACTCACTGTTGCGCTCAATCTAGCGTCAATGTTGTCCGTGTTGTACCTTTGTAATGCGGAACGCTTCAAAACATATTACCTTGCACCCCGAATAACACAAGAAACGCGTGCTCGCACGGTTGCCGCACCATGCCGTGCCATAGCGCGTGGTGGCAAGTAATGCCGTCCAATGCCTTACCGTGTGCCTCGAAAGCTGGATTGAATACCCGGGATGGTGTGCCATGCGCAACAAGTAACACATGTATATCTACATACCTATATACATATACATATGTATATATATATATATATGTATATGTAGAAACAAATTTATGTATACATATAATATAAGTTTATGCTGGCATAACCTATCGGAATGTGGGTGCCGTTGCTAGGGCCAGATCAAGACAAAACAAATCTCTCCTCTGGCGGCCGGTGCTCCGCGGTTGTCCCGTCGGCAGTCCCGTCGGTTGTCCCGCGGTTGTCCCGACGGTAGTCCCGTGGTTGTCCTGTGGTTGTCCCGATGGTTGTCCAGCCGGTTGTCCTGATGGTTGTCCCGATGGATATCCCGATGGTTATCCCGATGGTTGTCCCGATGGCTGTTTTGATGGCTGTCCCGGTGGATTTCAAGAAAAAAGGCTCTGCGCCTTCAGCTCACTGACATTTTCGCAACAAAAGCAACTCAAACTGCGCTGGTTGTCCCGATGGCTGCTCCGATGGATACACAGTGAGATCGACAGATAGATAGTGATACCGATAAGCGGATAATGCTTGCTCCACCCCCCATCCTCATTATCGGCCTTTGGACGGTCTTACAGGTATGCGTTTAAACAAATGATACCGTATGTTATGGCCCAGTATACCCTAATGTTAAGTCGGGCGTGTCCCCCTACAGCGGGATTTTCGATGAGAAATAAAAAATACTCAAGAAATGCTCCAAAATGGTCAACAAATATTCAACAAATAGTCCCCATATTATTTTTGACTATTTTTGAATATTCCCCCTGTCGAGGGACAGGCCCGATTTAACCCTAATGCTAATGCAATCTTGTGTGCCAGAGAATTCGGGGACTGGTGCCAGGTAGTTCTGGGGGCCTCACCGTGCGGAGCTGTGCCGCAAACCTCGAACGCCGACCGAGTTGCAAAGTGGTGCGGTGCTGTCTTATGCAATGCTGTCCCTCCGACTTCAACTCTGTTTGCCTCGACCCAGTGCCGCACTGAACAATGTCGTGCGTCGACGTAAAAGACTCTTGAAGTTGCTGTGTGGTGTGTCTGGTTGCTGTTCAGGAACACTGCCACGTGGTGCCGTATCATGGGAAACCCGCGCTAGGTGCCCGTGGCTGGCGCAATGCGGTGCCATGTAGCGCCGTGCGCCCCAATTTCTAACTTGGATGTCAAGGGGCCGCTCTGTGCGGTGCTGTGCCGTCTCGTGTGCCCCGAAACCTGATCCGGATGCTTCGGGGATGATGCCCTGGCAGCGCCCGCGGTTGCGCCCAGGCCCCGGCCCCGGCTGCTGCCGCGACTCCGCTACCCTGGCTGGCCGCTCCGGCCCGCCCACCGCGGAATTCTTCCACGTCTGAGTGCCTTCCTCCTTCCCACCCCGCGCGGCCGCCCTCTTCTCCTCCTCGTGCTCTCGCACGCCGGACAATTTGCCTATCGGTGCCCCCGATTAGCCCGACACTGGTGCGGATCGCCTCCGCCTCGCCGCCGACAAAACAATTTCGGAGATGATGCCGCTTGGCACCTAGCCGTGTGATGCCATGTCGAGCGGGGACTGAGCCGCGCGCCTCGAATTCAGGTTCGATGACACTTTAAGCCTAAAGTATTCCATAGACCACCCATTGGGTGACAAGGAGGTTGGGGATGGGTGGCATCATCTTTGATTTGCGTTGGACGCGCAACCCAGTTCACGAGTTGACGCACATGAGGCATCAAGATGATTCGCCATTTACCTGATGATACTGGAGAAAAGATCAATAATAGTCTTTTAAGGGCTACAGGGCTATGGGGCTATTGGGCTATAGGGCTATGGGACCATGGGACTATAGGGCTATGGAACTATAGGGCTGGGGCTGTAGGGCTGTAGGGCTATGGGGCTATCGGGCTATAGGGCCACAGGGCTATAGGTCTATAGGGCTATGGGGCTGTAGGGCTATAGTGCTGAAGGGCTATGGAGCTATGGGGCTCTGGGGGTATGGGGCTATAGGGCTATAGGGCTAGAGGACTACAGGGCTACAGGGCTATAGGGCCATAGGGCTATAGAGCTGAAGGTCTATAGAGCAATGGGGCTCTGGGGCTGTAGGGCTGTATGGCTATAGGGTTCTGGGGCTATGGGGCTATGGGGCTATTGGGCTATACGGCAATATGGCTATGGGGCTATATGGTTGTTGGGCTATAGGGCTAGAGGGCTATAGGGCTAAAAGGCTATAAGGCAATAGGGCCATGGGGCTGAAGGGCTATAGGGCTATAGTGCTGAAGAGCTCTAGGGCTGTAGGGCTCTAGGCCTGTAGGGCTATAAAGCTATAAGGTTCTGGGGCTATGGGGCTATAGTTCTATTGGGCTATACGGCTATATGGCTATGGGGCTATATGGCTGTTGGGCTATAGGGCTATAGGGCTTAAAAGGCTATGAGGCAATGGGGCCATGCGGCTGTAGAGCTATTGGGTTGTAGGGCTACTGGGCTATAGGGTTATGGGGCTATAGAGCTATAGGGCTGCAGGGCTATAAGACCATAAATCTCTAGGTCTATTGGGCTGTCGCAGAAATCGGTGACACATCGTACCTAACCGTATGGATCCGCTAGGTCCCTACAGAGGCAAGCTCTGACAGGGGAACACATGACACCAGAGAAAAAACACAAATCATGATTTCTGTTAGGGCTACGGGCCATAAGGCGGCTATAGGGCTGTAGGGCTATAGGGCTATATGGCTACAGGGCTATATGGGCTATAGGGCTATAGGGTTATTGAGCTATAGGGCTATATCTTTATATGTATATATATATATATATATATATATATATATATATGTATATATATTTATTGGGCTATATGGCTGAAGGGCTAAAGGACTGTAGGGCTATAGGGCTCTAGGGCTATAGGGGTACAGGACTATAGGGCTATTGGGCTATAGGGCTATTGGGCTATAGGGCTATTGGGCCGTAGGTCTATATGGCTATAGGGTTATATGGGCTATAGGTCTATAAGGAGCACCAAGGCACCCCGGCACCCGGGCACCCCCGGGCACCTCCGGGCACCCCCGGGCACCTCCGGGCACCCCCGGGCACCCGTGCACACAGGCACCCGGGCACCCGGGCACCCCTGGGCACCCGGGCCCGCCGCCGAAATCGGCGGCCCACCTCGCCTAACCATATGAATCCGCTAGGACGCCCACAGAGGCAAGCTCTGATTGGGGAAATATCGGCAAGCTCTGATTGGGGGAAGATATCTACATGCCTATATGTTTACCTATATATTAATGATACCGGAGTAGGACCCCAATCATAATGTTTATCATGGCTATAGGTCCAGAAAGCTATAGGGCTATAGGGCTGTAGGGCTATAGGGCTATAGGGATATATGGCTATATGGGCTATAGGGCTGTTTGGCTACAGGGCTCTAGGGCTAAAGGGCTGTAGGGCATAGGGTTATAGGGCTATAGGGCAATTGGGCTATATGGCTATAGGGTTATATGGGCTATAGCGCTATAGGGCTCTATAGGGCGATAGAGCACCAGGGCACCCGGGCAACCACCCCAGGCACCTCCGGGCACCCCCAGGCACCTCTGGGCATCCCCGGGCACTCGGGCACCCAGGCCCGCCGCCGAAATCGGCGGCACACCTCACCTAACCATATTCATCCGCTAGGACCCCTACAGACGCAAGCTCTGATTGGGGAACTACGCACGTAATTATCTTTTGTAGCTGTCAATATATGTATAGATGTGTATGTATGTATGTATGTATGTAGATACATGTCTCTCTCTATATATATACACATACGCGTGTGTATATAGTTGCCGACCCTACTATATTCATGCATACAGTCGGGGCGTTGACCTAAGGAACCCTAAATAAGGAACGAGGCCCCTATTTTCCATAAGTTAAACTTCGATTTCCGATCGGAAACATAAGGAAAACCTGAGGCAAGCTTTGAAACACTCAAGGAACGCGGAGCCCCTCCACAACCAAAAGGGTTCCTTCTTCAGGGCCCCGACTGTATACATTTATATACATATATACATGTCGAGACAGCCATCGTTATACCCATTATGTATGTATGTATGTATATATATATATATCCAACTATCGGTCTCACCATCTATCGGTCTCACCATCAATCTGTCTGTCGATCTCACGACCGTGGTCTCCCCTGGACGAGCACGCTCACCTGGCACCCGTTCCCTCGCCGTTCAGTGCAAGAGCGAGACTGCCTCGGACCCTGTCGCGAACAATCGCGACCAGAGCCTTGCACCTCATCCTTCTGGCAATTTCGAGCCAGATCGATCTGTAATGGTCCCAGGGGTCCAGACCGAGCGAAAACGCCCAGTGTGAACAACCTGCAAAGCCTGGACCTCAGGGTCCGCCAACGCAGGAGCGAGACTGCCGCGGAGCACAAAAGCGGTCTCCTGCGACAGCAATCCACGCGCGCGCTGGTCTCTTGTTCTTGTACCGCGTCCTGGCACCGTACGTCACCGCGGCGTACAGCGCCGCAAAGCACAGCACGATGAGGATGGACAGGGCCTCGGGAGAAATCTCGACCCCCTCTTCCCTCCTCCCTGCTCCTCAAACCCCCACTGGAGGAGCAGCCAGCGGCAGAGATATGCACTTTCGGAAGTCCGCCTGACTTCTTGGATCGGCGCTGGCCCCCCCCTCCCTGGCGCTCGGAGTGCGCCAAGGGCGGTGTCGGAGGCGCCGACAGGGGGGCCCGGCGCAGATCCGAGGACTCCGCGCGGAGCTCCGAAAGCTGCTGCTTATGCAATTTGTCCTTATTCGCTCGTTTCCGCCGTCTCCGCCGCTCTGTCCTCGCTCTTGCCTGTGCCTCGCCTGACACGAGCCTGTACTCACCAGTCGGAAGAAGTGGGTAAAGACATGCAGCAGGAAAGCGTTCGAAGTAGATCGGGTTTCCGCCCGCCCCATAAAGATGAAGGAACAGGGACAATCGCTAGATGATTGAAGTAGTAAGGCGTTTGAAATAATTTTGACTTTGAAATGCAAAAATGCTCACTTTCACCAACCGATAAGTATTCGCGTTCTGGGCCCGCTGAGTCTGCCGAGTGCTGACTGCTGGGGCGAGGGGAACAAGAAGACGCGCGCTCGAGCAGCTCGAAACAGGCACGCGCCGACCGCGCGCTCTTCACGAACCGCTGCCGTCGATCCGAGAGTACATCGACTCTCGCGGCGCCCGGCCTCACACCAACGGAGACACCCCCAGACCCCCAGGACGGCTCGAGAAGCGCATCCGAGGAAATCTGCAAATACAATACCGATACCGCTGCTTTCCAGACCTCTCCCGGGGTGCGCTCTGACCAAGATTCCGAAGCGAATCCTGCGGTGGCGACGAGGGCCTACCGGGAGGCCGAAAAATGCCCACACGAGGGAGGGCAGCGGCATCGGTGCCTTTTCCTCCTCCGAGCCTCACGCGCCTCGGGCGCCCGCCGACGGCAGACTCCCACTGGCGCGGGGACCCCTCCTCCCCGCACCCCTCGCTCGGGCGTTGCCCCCCACGCCCAGCCCCGCACACCGCTCGGAGCGCTGCTCGGTGGGGCGGGGGGGGGGGAGGCGATGCGCGGCGTGGGGGCGAAGAGAGGCTGCGGTGCCCTCTTCCTGCAGCCCTCAGCCTCAGTGCCCCCCTTCCCCCCCGAGTGTACTATCCCTCCCCCCCACCTTGCCGAAACCCGCGACCCCACGCGGCGGGGGCGGCGCCTCAGGCGCAGGGGTGCGGGGAGGGGGGGTCTGGCGCTGGCGGAAGTCTGTCGCCCGCGGACGCCTGAACTTCTTGCGCCTGTCACGAGGGCGCCAGCTAATACCACCCATTCCCGTCCTTCGGGTGCGCCGAGGAGGGGTAGCCCAGGAAGAGGGGGGGGAGGGCGCATCGTGGCCAGAGGCAAGACACGTGCGCGGACGAGTGGGGGCCGCCAGGAAAAGCATCGAGAAAAAATGTCTCTCTTCCCTCTCCCTCTTTCTCTCTCTCTCTTTCTACCCTTGGCCCCAGGGGCTCCCTCCCTCCAGGAAGGACAGGCACCCCCGCAAGGGACCCCCAGGGCAGCCGGAAGGCCATTGTCCGCCCGCAGGGCCGGTGCCCCGCGAGCCGCTCGAATTTATCGGCGCCAGGAAGGAGGATGAGGAGGAGGAGGAGGAGGAGGAGGAGGAGGAGGGGGAGGAGGAGGAGGAGGAGGATGAGGAGGGAGGGGGAGGAAAAGCGGGGGGCGCGCTGCGGCAGGGGCGGCAAGGCAAGGGGAAGGGAGGGAGAGGGGGAGGAGGCCTGGGGCGGGGGCAGTCGGCAGGCGGCGGTCGTCGTGGTGGTCGTCGTTGGGGTTGTGGTGAAGGTCGTGGTCGTGGGGCAGGTCGTGCAAGTCGTGGTGGTCGTGGTGGTCGGCGGGCTGGAGGTGGTCGTGGTGGTCGCGGTGGTCGTCGTTCGGGTGGTCGTGGTGTTCGTGGTCGCGGTGGTTGTCGTCGGCCAGGTCGAGGTGGACGTGGTGGCGTGCTAGTTGTGGTCGTGGTGGTGGGCGCGGTGGTCGTGCTGAGGGTGGTTGAGGCGCTGTTTGGCTGCTCACACCGCACTAAGCAGCATCTCCGCGTTGCCGAAAGCCAAACAGCGCTGGATCTTCCTCCAGGTGGCGGAAATCACGCCCGACCGCTCGGCCTCTGGTAAGTCCTGGTCGCAAGAGCGGACGAAGGCGACCAACTCCTCGCCTGGCCGGCCAACCGACGCCAAGACAGCCGGGATGAACTCCCTGCTGGAAGGGGCGTAGCGCGCCCGCTTCCTGTCGACCGCTTGGGTGGCCATGTCGAGGATGGCCTCCTCCCACACTCCAGTGTCGGGGTGCTGGCGATCCCAGGCAGGGACACGCTGCTCGGTCGTGGCCCTGTGGCCCGTCTGAGCGTAGTGCCAGGGCGCGCTCCAGTCGCGCAGTGAGTTGTGCCTGTAGTCCCTGCTGTCCCCGCACCCGCACTTTCGGGCGTGCCGTGCCTTCCATTTATTCCTCCAGGAACGGACCGAATTCGCCGCAAGTGAAAATAACAGTGACACGGAGGCATACGTCGGTATACGAACGCAGCCAAGGGCTTCGCTGTAACGCCCAAGGTGGCTGTACAACGCGCCGGGCAAAGACATGCTTCAAGCTTGCATGCAGCACTAGCGTTTGGCACAGCCTACGGCCTTGCCATCAGCAGTGGTTGCCTGGCCGACGGCCAGGGCATGCGAATGACCAGCTCGCCTGGCATCCCGTCGTTGCACATTATCTGTACAATCAAGTTTGGCACACTCGTCCGGAGATAGACGGATGAACTTTCGAGGAGCGGCGCACATGGCGTCCCAACACCGTGTGCGACGACTATCGCAGAGATGAGCCAAGAGGCGCAAGCGAGACCGGAAATGCGTGCCACAGACTTGGCACACACCATCCGCTAAGCAGAACACGCGCTGTGGAGCCTTCACCCCGTGCTTCGCACGGGCATGCGAACGCAGCGCCTTGCTAGTAGCAAACGCACAATCGCACTGGTCACACTTGAAGGATGCAACGTTGGCACCGCTACAAATAGAGGCAGGTGCTCCGAGATCGCACACCGACTCGGCAAAGTAAATGCAATTGACAGCGCTGGACCATCTGGCAGGAGATTCAACGAAAACCCTCAGGACCCGCTTCCCACGGGACTCATTCCTGGACATCCGCCGATATGAATCTCGCAATCCGCGGCCCCGGGTCCCGAACCCCTTCCCCAGGGCCCCACTTTTTCCGCCCCAGCTCAGCTTTCGGTGGTCCCGGGGCCCGATGACGGGCCCCGCGGAGACGCAGATGGAAGAAGCGACGCCTGGATCGTAGAGACAATCTCGCCGGAGACCTGGGCTTGCTTCCTGACGGCTGGTGGGGCGGCGCACAGAAGCCCGGGGTGCCCCCTCGCCCCCCGGGTCGGAAGACACCTCGGGCCCCAGGGGCGCACCTCCGCCTCGGCCAGCGCCCGACCTCCCTGGCGCCGCCCTCGTCAGACCCTCCCTTCTCCTCCTGCACAGCCATCGCGCTACCAGAGAGTCGGCGGCGCGCCAGGGGGGGAGGGCGAGGCAGGAGGGGGCGCGGGCCTCCTCCCAAAGCTCAGAAGGCCTCCGACCTTCTGGGGAACTCTCCAAGCCTTTCTCCGAAGCCCCGCCGCTCTCCGAGAAGGCCTGGCCCCTCTCACTTCCCCTTCGTCGCGCCGCCGACAGAAGGAAGGAAACACTTTTCTGGACACGGGGAGCCTCGGCCACGAACAGGTTCGTTGGCCCATGAATCTGAGGAACGGCCCAAAAACCAGAGCCCATCCTGAGCCCCAAGAGTCCTTGCTTTAGCGTCTCGACTGTAGGCGAGAGCTCACGATACGTCCCGTTAATTCCAGAGCTTCTGGCGGGCTTCCGCCGTTTGTGCTGGACTGTTCGTCCCTGGCTGCGCGGGCCAGCAGACAAAATAGGCTGGAGCTCTCGGAACGTATCATTTATCCCTACTTCCTGCTTCTCTCCTTATGCCCCTCCTCTTCTTGGCGGCGCGCATAAGGGGCTAGGGGGATAGGGGGACGGCTTCTTAGAAACGCCATGCTTCTTAGAAGGCGCCGGCCCTACATCTGCAGACAAGGCCCGCGCCTCTAAGAAGCAGGGTGCTTCTCAGAAGTCTTCCCCCCTCCCCCTGCCCCGTTCTGCGCGTGGCCGATCTTCACCACCTCGCACCGAGGGAGACTGATCGCGTCCTGAGGCAAACGGGCCCTCGAGGCCTTCCGCCGTTTTGTCGGGCCCCCGGAGCACTCCACGGGCAGGACGGGACTGTCAGGAAGCCGCCCCGGACGACGGGCTGGCCCAAGGGACGGCCCCGAGGTCCAGGGCCCGCTTCCCTCGGGACCCGGGCCCCTCATGCCGAGCACACGTCTTCCTCCTCTGGCCGACTTTACGCCTGCCACTTTGTTGTTGCTCGGTGTTCTTTTGGTGCTGTATGGGGGAGGGGGAGGGGGGAGGGGGAGGGGGAGGGGGGGGGCGGGGGGAGGGTCTGTGTTAGTTCGTTTTGCTGTTGCTTGCTGTTTCTCTTCTGCTGCTTTTTGTTGGCGTTCGCCGGTTGTTGATGATCTGCTTGTGTTTGCTTTGCCTGTTTTCGTTTGTTTTTGCTTCCGCCGCCTTCCGCTGGCCGTCCGCCGGCGGGCCCGCCGGCGGGCCCACCCCGCCGCTGTGCCTCCCAAGAAGAGCAGGCTCAGGGCGGACGTTTCGTGCGGGGGCCAGGTCTGGGACTTACTGGCATCGGCGCACCTACAAAGGCGAGGTGTTTCTGAGGCGGGGTAAGCCTTCAGGGCCTTCAGACTGGGGAGGCCTCCCAAGAAGGCGTCAAGGAGCTTAGAAGCCAGGAGGGCTTCCAAGAGGCCCCCTCTCCTGCTTTTAGACGAGCACCCCGCCTTCTTCGAAGGCCGCTCCACTCGAGCTACGGCCAGACCGGGGACAGAAGGACATCCTCCAAGAGCACGAGACCCTCCTCTGGCCAAACCGAAGACCATTCGAGGGTGCCCTCCTCCAGGATGCACAAAAACATCCAACAAGCACGAGACAAAAAACACATTAGGGTACCCTCCCCATGCCGACCTCGATCTTACACCTCGGTCCGACCGTACTTTTTCAGAAGGAAGGCCCCCGAACGGGGAACGCGAGAGGCAGGACGGGAGCTTGGACCTCGATCCCGCACCCACGCGCATCCTCTTTCACAGCACAACGCCCAAGCAGGCTCACGGCGGACGCCTCGTGAGGAGCCAAGTCTGAAAGACTAGCCGACCTCGGCGCAACTTGCGCCCTCAGGCGGCGGCACCACCCGTCAGCAGAGGCGGGGGAGAGAGGGGGGGGGCGGAGGAGGGAAGGAGCTCGGACCACGATCCCGCACCCACGCCCCCCCTCCCATTTGCGGAGGCGGCACCGTGGGGGCGGCTCCCGCTCCCCGTTCTGCTTCCGCTGGCTCCCCCACCGAGGGCGAGGGTGCGCTTCGAAGGCGAGGCGAGGGCCCCTTGCTGGACCACGCCGCGGAGCCACCCCGAGCGGCCGGGCTGAGCGGCAGTGCGGAGTCGTTGTAGCGGAGCGAGGAGGCGAGGGAGAGGTACGTGAACGCGAATATGATCGTCGTGAGGAAGGCGCACAAAACCTCAGAGCGAGCCGCCCGGGGGGGGGGGACCGACGGAACTCCCGAAGCGGGAGGGGGGCGGGGGGCAACCCTCGGGGGGACCAGCTCGGCAGGGGGGAACATCGAACCTGAATCGGCGATGCATCGCTGGTGGATCGGCCAACCGACCCCGATAGCGAATCCGCACGTTCCTTGGCGGGGTAAGCCCCACCGGGCATGCCGCTGTCGGTGATGAGCGGGCGATTTGGGGCCGAGGGAACTGCTGGGCCAGGGGGTCCCGGTCGGCGGTCATGCCGACCGACACCGAAACGAGAAGAATAAACGAATTCGTAGTGAGGGGGAGGAGAAGGAGAGGGAGAGGGATAATGAAGATGTGGATGTGGGAGAACGTGGGAGGATGAGAGGGGAAAGGGGGGGAAAAGGAGGATGAGGAGGAGGAGGAGGAGGAGGAGGAGGAGGAGGAGGAGGAGGAGGAGGAGGGAGGAGGAGGATGGAGGAGGAGAGGAGGGAGGAGGAGGAGGAGGAGGAGGAGGAGGAGGAGGAGGAGGAGGAGGAGGAGGAGGAGGAGGAGGAGAGGAGGAGGAGGAGGAGGAGGAGGAGGAGGAGGAGGAGGAGGAGGAGGAGGAGGGGGGGGAGGGAGAGGAGGGGGAGGAGAGGGGTACACGTACTCAAAGAGGAAGAGACGAGGGCAAGAGGGCAAGACGCGAGACGAGGGCAAGTTGCCCGTGCGCGTCCGTCCGCTGGAGCCGACCCACTTCCAGAGCAATGCTCTGGCGGCGCTCAACGCTTCAGCTATCGTGACTGGGGTCGGCGTGGCGTGCTTCATTTTGTTGTGCAGATTGAAGGCCAGCGCTGTCCGCTGGATCGACCGCAGCAGCGAAAGAGAGGTCGCTGTCAGGATCAGACGGGTAGGCGGCGGCTGGGCCCAAGCCCCAGTTTGTAAATGTGTTGCGGAGCGGGGGAGAATCGGGGGGCCAGAGGAGGCGCAGGAGGCCAGGGCAGGAGAGGTAGTGAGAGAACGAGTCGGGTTCCGCTTGGCATCCAAGCACGCACTGCCTCTGCTGGAGGACGTGCATGCGGTGGGTGGTCGTCCATCCCCCAGCAAGCGTCTTGTAAACCGCCCAGCGCCAGCTGGGGCGGACTTTGCGGAGTGCACTGGTGAGAGCGGACCATCGCGTAGCGAACTCTGGGGCTGAGGGCGGCTGATGGATGCCCCAGGCTGCGTTGCGCTTCTCGAGAGTGACTGTGGACGGCGACGAAAAAGAGGCGCGCTGTAGCGCGAGCGCGACGCTGCACCGTAGGGCGGCGCGGTGGCTCGGCGGCTGGGGCCTCGCGGAGCTCGCGGGCAGCTGCGCGGTTTGCCGCGGCCACGGCAGCTACAGAAAACGGCGCGGCACGCTTGCCGCAGGACAGGGCATGGTAGAATTGCACGATGGAAGTGTCCTCTTCCCAGAAGTGCGGAAACCACTGCCCAGCCCCCACCGATGGGCGGAGTGAACCGTGCTTTCCTCCCACGCGGTGTCTCGCAGACGCGCGTGGAACGGCCCCCATTCCCCGCGCAGCGTGTAGGTTGCAGAACGAATTGCGGCGGCGACGGCAGATATCTGAGCAGATCGTGGGACAGGAGGCGGGCGCCATTCCGCCATTGCAATGAGATCTACCCTGCGAAACGTGTTCGGCGGCAGGCTGCGCATTTTTTGAAAGATGTAATGTTCACGGCGAGCGATCTTCACATCAAGCCGAAAGAATTGTGAGACATAGCTGTGCGCCGAAACAGTCGATGTGTTGTGCAGGCGAACGGTGGCGTCACTGCCACTCTGGACAAGCTGGGGAGAATCGCCGCGCTGCCGCCATTTCTGCCCAGGGGCGAGCCATTGTGAGGCGAGAGAGGCGGAGGGTCCGAGGAAGGTCCCGAGGTGCTTGGTTCGCCCCGAAACCGAAAAGCCCTCCCAGGAGGGACAGAGGTCGGCCAGGAGGGCTTTCGTTAGGGCCCCGGTGGCTGGCGTTGTCTTCGCCCAAAGCGGGACGACGACGCACTTACGAGGCTTGAGCGTGAGGAGCGCGAACTCCTCAGCAGCGCAAAAGGACTCAGATGCGCGGCGCAGCGTGTCGATCGAGAACGCGGGGGGGCCAGTGTCGTCCGCGCACGCGCCGAGGTAGCCCTTGTCGTAGTCAGGAGTGCCATCGACCGCCTCGACGGACGAAGCGAGGTGGCGCACTGGCGGGTCCATCGCGATCGCCCGCGCTGAGCCGCTCGCAGGGCAGCCCTGCGCCACGCCAGACTCGATCGGGAACGTGAAGTGACGGACACCGTCAATCTTGAGGAAGCTGTTCGGGGCGTGGCGGAAGAGACTGAGCAGGCCCTCAGGGACTCCGAATCGCTCCAGCGATGCGAAGAGCCAGACCCGTCCGAGCGACGGGGGCGCCGCTGCGAAGTCGAAGCTGGTGAACACGGGCTTGTGCAGCTCGGCTTCAGGGCGCGCCCCAGCACGGCGCATCTCCGCGTCTAGGTTGACGAAGTGCTCGGTGAAGTTGCGGCCGACGACGAAGCCCTGCCGTGCGTAATGCGTCCGCTCTGCCGCAGCGGACTTGATGAGGAAAATGGCAGCGCCCGCGATGGCCTTGATATCCGTGTTCTTAAGGGAGAGCGGGCGAGTGTCCTCTGGCAAGCGGTCCGTCGTGAGCTCGCCCGTGAGGTTGTCGCTCTTCGGGAGGAAGGCGAAGTCGGAGTCGTTCAGATCGGGGATCAAGTCGGCGTTGGAGCAGAGGTGCCGAGCGAGGTCCTCGAGCAAGTCCAAGGACGCGTCGACGGCGAGCCAGGCGCGGCGAGGCAAGAGGTCGGGCCCGGGCGCAGACGGCGCAGCGCGCTGCAAGAAGCCGCGGATCTGCGCCTTGGTGGGCGCGCCAACGTCGACGGTGGGGAAGAGCGGCACGTGCGAGGCGATGTGCTGCTTGACCTTCGCTTCGTCGACCTGCTTGCGCTCGAAGACAGGGCGTCAGTGGTCGCGAAGTGCGCCCACCATCGCACAACTCTCTATGGCTACCCCAGGAAGGCCCGAAGGGTCAGTGGTTTTGATGCCCTGGAGGACAAGACGGCGCTTCCACGGGGCCCGAAGGAGGGCTCTGCGCTGGGGCGCACGGGTGATCTTTCGGAGCTTCTCAGGCTCGATGGCCCCAGGCGTGCCTCGCGGCAACAGGGCCACTCTTTGTGCCAGAGAGAGTTGCCGAGCCCCGGAGTCGCTGTGCAGCGCGGAGGACTGCATGGCGAATTCGGCAGCATCCGAGAGCGCGATGACACCGTCGTCCAGAACGAGGCACTTTGCGCCGAGCTCAGTGGTGGACTGCAGACGGCTTGCCAGATGGATGTTCTGGCGCCAGATCGCTCGCGAGATCGAGCGTGCTGTGATCACCTGGCCGTCGGAGTGGTTTGTCTTGCCGATCTCTCCAGCTGCACGGCTGACCCAGTCATCGCGAACAAGACGGGCAGCCTCAACCATGAGGCGCTTGTGCGTGCGCCAGCGGTTCGCGATCGGCAAGTGGGTCGTGACGGCATGGTCGAGCATCTGCTGGAGGTACCTGGCGAACGAGGGGTCGCGGAAAATGGCTGGGGGGATGGCCTGCTCCGCTGGCGGCCTCATCGGCTTGATACTGATGGCGTAGGAGACGATGGCGTGGTCGCTGAGGAGGCGGTCCGACAGGATGGCAAGGTCGTGAGCGACGCGGATGACCGGCGTGAGCTCAAACGTGGCGTGCGACGGCAGGCTGATGAAGACCCGATCGATGGCTGACGCAGTGAAGTCGGACTTGTTGAAGCGCGTCGGCAGGTCGGACTCGACCTCCAGCACGCTGTCAAAGAGGGCCCTCTGCCGAGCGCTTTTGTCCAGCGCGAGGCGGGCGCGCTGTGGCTGCGGCTGGAAGAAGCTGCTCGGCGGGCGGCTAGCAGTGTTCAAGTCGCCCAGGGCAAGGAAGGTGCGGTGCAGGTTGTTGGCCTCCGCCCGCGCGCGGTGTTGGTGCCGGGCACGCTGAATGCGATCGCGACCCCTGGCGTCGATCTCGTGATTATGAACGCTCATGATGACGAGGGTGTTGCGGGTGACTGCGTTGGTGACGGCGGCGATCTGGACGCGGCCTTTGACGAGCTCCTCGTGGGCGAAGGGCGGGAGCTGGGACGGCTGCAGCTGCTCCAGCTGCGCGCGTGCGAGCCACGGGATGAAGGTGGCCACGCCGCCCGTGCCAGCGCGCGCATCACCGGCGGACTCGTCGACGATCTGCGAGAAGAAGAGCTTGTACGGGTAGGGCTGGGTGTCGACCCACGCGCGGAGAAGCTTCTCCGAGCCGTGGACCTCCTGCATGTCAATGACAGCGCGCCGGCGCATGTACTGCTGCAGAGCTGCTTGTTTGCGACGGCGCTTCGAGCGCTTGCGGCACATGAGCGCGCCGGCGTTCCAGGTGATGAACGAGCAAGGCATGCTGCCCTCGACTGGCTTCCACGGCGCCCAGGGGCGGCTGAACCCGCCACGTGGCCTCCGCCGTGTCTGCGAAGAGCGCCTAGAAGGAAGTGAGGGCGGCGCCGCGATCGATGTCGCGGAAGTGAGCGAGCTCGAAGGCCTTCTCGTTCCACTCCAAGATAGCAGGGTCGGCTTAGCCCTTGACGTCCAGGCGCGCGACGGGCATGGCGTTGCAGTGGATCTCGCCCTTGGTGCGATCGGCCTTTCGAGCATATTGTGGATATCGATGCTGAAGAAGTTGGAGGAGTTTCTTGCGCTGGATCTCGGTGCGGATCTGCTTGGGGGCTCTGTCGGGCTTGAGGTAGATGTCAGTCCTCGCGCCCGTGGTGTCCGTTGATGAGAATCGCTTCCACTTCCCTGCAGCATCGCGAAGGGCTCGAGAGAGAGCAAGAGCCCGAGGAACTGCGAGGGCGCGGTCTCCTTTAACTTGAAGAATGAAGCGGCGCGCAGGCTCATCTCCATATAGCTCGACGGCGTCCGTGCCCAGGTTGGCAGACGCAATCCACTTCTGCA